ATTTTTCGGTGCATTTAGCCTTAAACATTTGGAGCCGTTTTTAAGAAAATGAGGTTTAAGCTTATTGTAACTTCGAAATTTGTAACATTTTTCACAGAACATGTTTGAGTTATGGAAAAACTTAATTAGAAGTCATTTGAAGTACCTTAACTCACAAATATAATAGTTTACAAATTAACAGAGTGAGATATCTTTAAAAAAAACAAAACAAAAAAAAAACCATTTGAATGGGTGAAAACTAGAACGGTATAAGTCAGATTTTATAAATACTGAGAAATCTTTATTTAACTCAATATCAATGTAAAGTCATTATGCTTTTTGTAATAATGAAACCACGGTATTTCTATTGTTTATTAAAATCACGAAATTACATACAAAATAAAAAACAACACAGCATACAAAAAAAGCTAGAAATTCACCGAAATGAACTTTACGTCGCATTAAATAGAGCAATTAGCATGATCCGTTCGAAAACTTTGAAGAAAAAATTTGGAGCCGTTTTTGAGAAAATGCGGAATTGTGAGCTAGTTTTCACAGAAAACGGTTGAGTTTTCGAAAAGCTTTATCTGACAATATTTAAAGCACATCTAATCATAAATATAATAATGATAACATATTGCCGGTAGTATAAATATTAACGACGGGAGACTCAAGTAAAACATTATATTTTTTGAAAAAACAACAACAAAGAACAGAGCCATTTGGCGTTTATGCCATCTTTCTGAGTGGATTTGGTAATATCCCTTCCAACAGTTTAAAGAAAAAAAATAAGCCATTTGAGAAAATATTGTTTTTGTACTTTTTTTTAAATTGCAAATATTGCACGCAATATTGTGCGAATACTATGTTTAAAAAAGTACATGGCCTTAATGAATGAACTAATTATGGACAACAAATTTAATTTGAAAGAAAAATCTCTATATTCAATTTTGTATTGTTGGAAGACGCCGAATAAAATTGATACTTTTGATATTTTCGAAAATTCAGAGTTAAGCGTGAAAATCGAACCTATGTCACTTTTACAAGCGTATGTTACTCGACCCTTACAAGAAATTAAAAAAAAGAGTAGTTTTTGAGAAAGGCTTCCGAAGGGCTTCATGTAAAGTACTCTCAAATTTTAAAGAATGTTTATAAAAATCTCAAAGCTTCGATACGAGCCAGATGGACAGGTTCTTAAATTTGGAAAAAATCCTACGCATGATTTAGGTATCGCAAACGGAGATTAGGGATCACAGACCGACGGACAGACTGTGGCACAGACTTTTTCGTACTGAAGTTTTCTAATTTCGGCGCCGGTAATTAGTTTTTATCTGCCGAAAATTCGCCTTATTTCGCGCCGAATTACAAAACTTTCTTTCTACCCGGTAGCGAGAAAGTAAAAAATGTACATGGCCTTAATGAAAGAACTAACCAGGGAGAAAAAATTTCACATTAAGGAAAAATCTGTCTTGAATTTTGTAATACAAGGAATAAGCCTAAAAAATTCTAACTTTTTAAATTTTCGAAAATTTAAAGCTAACAGAAAAAAACAGACCCGTGCCATCTTCATGTATAGAAAAATGTTGGAGGCAATTTTGATTAAATTTTGAAAATGTCCCAGGTTCTTCATATGAAGTTCCCTCAACTTTTAAAGAATGTTTTTCAAAATCGCAAAGCAAGACAAGGCAGATCGACTGAGGAATATCTATTTTGATAAAGAAAAGCAAAATCGGTATCTGGGGACCTCAAAACGAGTATTTCTGTTGAAATCTCGAAACCAATTTTCCGCAACATTACATAACTTTCTCTACTCTACATATACCACTCAGTATATACGTACGTATACAAGAAAGTAAAAATAATATTTTCTGAATAATATTTCTGGGTCCAAATTTTTTCTTTAAATTCTGGTAGGGATAGTGTTAAAAATACTCTATAAAATAACAAACTGCTAATACAGGTCTATTCTTTTGTTTTCTCAAAAGTGTGTAATTTTTTTACTTGTCTCCAGTCTTTAATATATTCATTAGCAGCGATTTGCTCACATTACTGCATTTATGAGTACATGTGCTTTAAATTATGTCCAATAGAGTTTCTGTGAAAATTAGCGAAATTTCCACATTTTCAAAAACCTTCAATAGCGATTTTCTTAAAAAAAGGCTCAAAATTTTGTCTTCACACTTTTCACAGGGATAGTGCTAATTGCACTGTTTACGATGACAAAAGCCCATTTACTGCTTTCTTTTTATTTTCAGAAATTACACAAATGTAATGTTTTTAAAAAATCAGCGCGCATTTACTATGCACATTTTCAATGATTTGTGTACATTATTGCATTTGTGAGTGGAAATGGTTCAAATGACTTCCAATTAAGCTTTCTCAATGATTTTTTCTGTAAGGCAGCATTAACAGCAATACCTAAGATGTTTTTTTAAAAAGGGCATCGAGTTTTTCAAAAAAAATTTCATATTGGACGAGTTTTTACTCTTCTTTAATAATCTTAAAGATAAATATAGATTTTACCATTAGAAAATAAAAAAATTAAGAAAATTTTAAAGTGTTGTTTGGACAGTAATAGATGGCAGGATGATGGGGCATGACTGTAATGCTAGCCCAGGCCAAAGAAATTAGAAAACTATCTAGTACCTGAAAGTCTGTGCCATTTTCAGGGGCCATGAAAGATTTTTATTAAATAACATTTTTTATTATATGGTATACAATTTTTGTAGTGTGTAAATGATACTACAGGATATTATTTTGTAAATAATTACATAATAATGACATAAATTTTGTCAAAGAAAAGTAGGTAACAAACGAAAATTCAATAGCTTTTTGTGTGTGTGTGTGTGTGGGGGGGGGATGGTCCCAATGGCCCTTTCGGATCTGCCATTGGCCATTTTGTAGCACAACTTATTTTAAAGCTGTAATTCTCTTAATACTGGTATTTGTAGTTCTGATTTGGCGGGTACATGTTTCATACAAAACTTGTAAAAAATGTTATCCTCTTTAAAATCTGAATTATATTTCTATAGGTCGTAAGGTTATAGAAAAAACCTCAAAAAGGTAAAACAAAACAAGTTTTCAGGTCTCCTGAAGTTAGCACAGGCTTTGATAGTTTGAAAACTTGAGAATTTTAACTAGTGCCTGGATACATACAACATATCAAAAGAAAAAAGTTTTTATGATCTTTTTCCAAAACTTACTTATCAAATGAATTACTAACTGAAAGATGTTACATTTCAAAATACTCCATCACATGGTGAATAGATTCCTGAAGACTTCAATTCAACTTATACACAAACTTACTGTAAGTCTTGTACACTTCCACGCATTCAACAATGTTCCTTTCAGTTTGCAACTTATTTCTTGAACAGTAAATTGGAGGTGTTAGTTAACTCCACATAAGCCTAAGGGAATTCGATGGGAAATTATTATGGAATAGATTTTGGAGAATAAGTGCACAAAAAATAAACTCTACAAATGAGGCACATAGCCATTTATTTCATTAAGAAAACAGTTAACCATTACCCAGCTAAACAGCAAATTAAAAAAAAAGTTCTCAATCAGACAAAAAATATAGTTTACACCAGAGATTGAAACCGATTTGGAGAAAAGTTCCTGAAATACTACTTTATCTATTTTAAATAAGAACTTAATGAATGTGGATTACATTTTCTTTTCTTCAAATTTTAAATAATTATTTTGCAAATTCATATTTGTCAAGTTAAATACCTCTGGTGTAAATGTTATAACTGAACATTCAATTTAAATTTCAGTCTTAAATACAAGAGTGTACAGATGAGAATTTTATTTTGAAAGCAAAATTTTTCCATCAATTGTGTTTCATAGCCACACTTTTCAGATCTATAACTTACTTTCCAATCACACTATACAAAGCCTAATACTGTAAAACTCCTCAAAGAATCTAAAATAAACAAATTTAAAGATTCTAAAACCATTTCCAAACACTTGAGAAACAAGCTCATAAATCCAATTTATGAAGAAAGCAGATCTACTGCTTTTACTTTAACAAAGCTATCTGAAACCTAATACTGTTTCAAAAAACCAATAAAATATGTAAAACCAACATAATTAAAACATTTTATACTCCTGAAATACCTTCAACAGAGTAAGCTTTCCAGAAAAACAAACACAAAATTAATACATCTCCACTGACCAATAAATAATCTATGCATCAATTATTGACATATTATGAAAATCTAAGATAACAGACAAGCAATCATGATCACACATTATAATTTTTAACGAAACAAGTCTGATATCACATCGCTTTTGCGCTATTCAGCTAACATCTCATGCAAAAGTAATTCTTGTTTCATTATGATGTTATATCAAAACAGGAATCATTCAAACTTTTATCTACGACGACTAGAAATCCATTTTTTGATTTGATTTTTATTTCTCATTTAGTTTTACATGAACATCTTAGATAAGATAGTAACATTACTCTTTTGATTCAAACGAGATTCTTTGATTGTCAAAACAAAGAGTCGTAACATAACCATTATGGCACTAGTGCTTCAATAAATTCACTGGAGCACTATTACTATAATGAAGCTTCAAATCACACCTATATTAGCGTGCTAATCATCACATCGTCGTAGATAAACAAACAAACAGAATCACTCTAATATTTCTATAGATATGAACAAATTCATCCTTTGTACAATTCTAGAAATTATTTTCTGCACCTCTTGAACGATCAGTGCAATATAAATCAAAACTCATAAAGGAATATTATATTTTATAATCATTAAAATTACAAGACACAGCAAATGCTTCTTGAAAGAAAACATTTAAAAAAAATTGGGCTTATGTCCTTTGATTGGTTTATAAATAATGTTTAAAACATTTTTCCATAAACTTAAATGTAAGAAACTAAAATTAGATAATACATCAACATGCCTACAAAAATTAATGAAATCCAATCTTGAATTCAAGAGATTCAGAACAACGCCAAATCACAAAACAATATTGCAACAAATTATTCAAGTCCTTTCAAAATATCACATTTGTATCTTCTTATTTACATGAGGCAGTGACTTACAAAAGACACATATTCTTGAGAGAATTTATCTTCAGACATCCAAACTTACAATGATAGCCTCCTTTTTTGTGTATGGTGCTGAGCAATTTCAGATTTTAGACATTACATACAAATACATAACTGTAATAAACTATAAATTTGCAAAGCTTTGTGCATTTTTAATGCACATGAAAGTGAGACGTATTACATACTTGCCAACTATTTAGTGCAAGTTTTTAGTCTTTGAAGCACCAAACACTCATTATCAGGTACTCTAAATCACACACAATACTGTGAAAAGTTAAATACGTGAAATACAATAGGATGAACAATTATGAATGAATCCCAGTCTTCCATTGATATACAGTATAAGTGAGCAAAATAAGTATTGTACGCAATTCTACATATTCTAAAACAGTAAGTAAGTAAATCTTTATAAAGAAATGGGTAAGATAACAAGGTGAAACAACCATCTATGGTACAGAACTTTATAACTAAAATTTCATTATAATCGTTATTATTATTACTACACACAACAAACAATATTTCTTATCTTGATACTGTGTTAAACTGCTTAAAATTATAAATCTAAAGTATTTTTAATTGCTATCACACCTGCTGAGATGTAGTGTTTACTCTCCTAAACTTTTTCCTTCCCACCACTCAAACAATAAAGAATCAGTAATTAGTGGTCCCTCCATTACTTAATACTCACTTGATTAATTTTAAAAGGTTATTGAATTTTTCCAAAAATATGTTTTAATATATTTGGATTCTTAATGATTTTTATTATTGTTGTTAATGAAATTTTGTATAAAGAAACTGTTTGATCCAACAAACCCTGAAGAAAGAACAACTTCTCATGTTCAATTTGCTCATAAGGACTGAGCATTTCAGACTATCCTCACCATGACAATTTAAAACATATTTTACTTTAGTCCATTTACAAAGTCTCGTAATTGTTTCTTATGTGCAGAGACAGTAACAATTACTTTTGATCGATAAATAATTTCACAACCATCTATGATCCTGTAGCCCAAATATCTAATTTTTTTAAGATTTAGAATGTTTATAACCTAGTATCAGGGAATCAGGGAATTTCCACTATATGAAAATAAGATGTACCTTATAAAAGAACAAATTTACATAAGCCCATTTATTAGAAACTAATTTTCTTTCAATTCAATATTAAAATATAGATTAATATTAAATATATAATTATTTATTATGCTAACAGCCCCATGCAAATTAATTGTATAGATTCACTATTTAAATTTTTAAAAGTTTAATTTTAATTTAATATTGAGCAACACCCTGAAATAAGAGGGTAACATTCACCTTCTGGTTTTAGAAACGCATTACATTTTTTTCAAAAACCTCAATCAGCTTAATTTAAGAAAAAATTCATATTTCCAAAGGATTTTTCTGTTTCAAATATCATTGCATATCTCATATTTCCTTCTCTCTTCTCTTTTTATAATTAGACACAAATTCTTCAATACATTGGCTAGGAAATTATTACAACAAAGGCAATTGATACTAACAGTTACAATAAGAAACAATTACATTTTATTTGAACTAAAGTAAAATAAAATTATAGCTAGAAATGTTTTCTGTCTTCACAAGCATACTGAACACAAAAGTTTCTTTTTCCTCAGGGTTGAAAAAATTCTGATAGCAACCTAATCATTTCCATCCAATATAGAATTAAATGATAGGGTTATATTTCGGAAGATTGTACCTTACAGATCTTCCACACAATTCACAACTTCTAAGTCTCATTACTACGAGGACTTAACAAAAGATCTAAAATGGGAGTTCTCAGTTTTTAAGAAATTCAATATATTCAGCCTTTACTTTCCTTAATATGTATACTTCAATTCATATGGATTTTAGGGCAACTATAAGGCACATGAGGTTAACAATCATGGCGTGACAATATTCAACCAATCAGTGTAGTAAAGATAATTTTCACGCAAAATGTAGATTTTAGTCCAACAATGCTAAATTAAGTTATTTTGATTTGCATTTATATTTTAATACTCTTGAAAATTTTAGCATTTTAAAATATTTCTTCTAGAAAAATTTTAGCCATAAACATTTAACAACACTGCTCATATTCTGAATTTCAAGACAATCTGAACACAATGTTACAAGGTTTTAACCAATGCTCCAATCTTATTTTTTCAGTGAAAGAAACAAAGATTGAAATCTGAGGACATTATGCAAGGACCCCATATAATTAGTCCTTTGAAATTGTAGTAATGTCAAATTTTGATATTAATATATCTGGTTGCTCAGCACTCTTTTCAATCTTCAGTTGAAGTTTACTTAAGCCTTCAAGGCTCTTGCCTAGGTTGGGGGCAGTGGCTTTCCAATGCAAGTGAAGTGAAAGGGGGCACATGCGTCAGCAGATAGCTAGGTTAGTGCACCATTACGACAAGCTCACGTCTTCACACAACATCCTGTCATACGGAGGGAAGTCTATGACAACCCTATGGTTTGGCAAACGTTACGGGCCCTTCTGTCAACTTTGTTTCGTTGAATGTTTACCATTGCTAATAAACAATCAAGAAAACTAGTGCAATTTTTTCTCTCTTGAAACTGGACATTCCATTACAAAAATAAAGGCAGTAATGAAAACAAAACCACAAACATAACTTTTTGATTATATTCTATTTTGTTAGGCTTCAATGTTTTTAACTGGAACTGATTTCAAATCTATTTGGTGTCATTTTTGAAGAAAAAATAGGGGATGGTGCCAGAAGACTTTTCAAATTACAAGAACTGGACCAACAATTTGGTAATTTTCTGAATATTTTGTTGGTTTTACTGTCTGGCTTAATTTCATTTATATAAGTTGGTACTTTTGTCTTTAGTTGAGAAAAGACAAACAAAATAGCAAGAGCATTTGAAGAAGTGCATCTTGCAAAAATTTTCCAAATCTTTCCTAATCTTTTTTTGCAAAATGCTATCATTATATATTTTATATTTTTAAAATCTAATTTTTCACAAAAATTATATTACTGTAAAAATATTTTATACACGGCATAGAATTCGAATTTATTATTTCAAGCCCTGAAAAAAAAAGGATGAGGAGAATGAAAAAAAAAGTGTGTGTAACTTTTCAACTATTCCTTAGCTCTACCCAATCATACAAATTTAATTGATGAGCCCGATTCAATTAAATTAGGATAATTGGAGTTCTCCTGTACTACAAAAATTAACACCCATTAATAATTGAACACAGTATTAGCCAGGGATAAACTGTCTCTTATCCGCACAATTAAAATACACGAATAAACATACCGAGATTCATTAGTATGAATATGCTTAAAGTTAAAAATCAGTGTGCATGTGCACATTGGAATTTTGTCCACTAATATATATAGAGTGTGCACAAGAAACATAGCTATTTCGTATCTGGCTTTCTGGCCAGTTCCATTTTGTTTCCCCACAGCCTAACCAAGTACACAGTTGAATCTCATACGATCACTCTCCGTTTTATGTATATTACAACACTGTTTATAAGTCCTGCTCCTAATTCTGTAAAATTACTCACAATTTACATTATTGCGCTTTTGGGGGGGAGACTTGAGTGAATGCGATATCAGAAAGTAGAGGGGTACTTTCACAGAGTTTTCAGGGTATTTTTTAATCTGCCTAATTACCAACACAGCCAGAGAAATGTGTTCTACTGTGCCTCCATCTTATGTTCGTTGTGTTTTACATTATGTCATGTTACAATGTATGGTTATATCATGTGTAACTTTTAATTTGATAGACCTAGAACCCGGATTTTTCCTATTAACATGCACAACTTATTATATTAGTGTATTATTTGCACAAACTTCAATTTTATTCAGTATATTATTTGTAATTAAATTAGTTTAGCTCATGAGTATTTGAGTGATGTTCACAAGTAAATTAGTTTTTATTCAGTATTAAATGGTTCTGAAGAAGGAAATGTGAAAAGTACAAATTGAGCATTTTTTCTATTATACATTTTCTTTGCCTACAATGTTCAAAATTTTCGTTTCTTGAAAAACTTGGTTAATTCTTATTTTATAGTACAATTGTTGTTCACTATGAACGGTTCATTGGGTTCGATTCTAAACAAAGTGTGATGTAATCTTTCTTCACAATGTGTTTGCAAACTGTACAGTTTGAATACTGGAAGCCAGTGTTTCCGCAAAGGTTTAGTACAGATGTTTTTTTGGCAATATGGAAAAGATGAGGCTGTTAATGTTATAAAATGATAAATTTCCTTCATTAGATCAAACAAGTTTATCCAATAACAGACTAAGGTCAGTTTTAAATTTTATTATTTTCAAAGAGTCAACTTAAATATTACAGTGCTTTCTTATAAAAGTGAATTGGTAATTATGTGGTGGATAGACAAAGTTGATTAGAGTGAATGCGAGGGCCAAGGTTCGAGCCTTGCCATGACTTGGATCCGGGTGTGTGAAATTAGAAAACTTGCCCTTGAAAGTACTTTGGCATTATAATGCCGTGGGAACAAATAATTTGGCATTACAATGTGGTGGGAACAAATAATTTGGCATTACAATGTGGTGGGAACAAATAATTTGGCTTTACAATGTAGTGGGAATGAAGTGTATGTGAAGACATTGCAGTGTTGCAGAATTAACCAAAAGTGAAGAGACCGAATCTTTCTGGGCATGACTCGTTCTTTTACACGAACTGTACCCTAAACTAAGAATTAACCCAAATTGGATTTTAGAAATAAAATAATATCCTTGCATTGTAACATCTATTGCAAAGAGAATTAGTTTTCAAACAAGATTTTTGACCTACCTGATCAATTTCATGATCACAAGTTCTATTAAGCTTCATTCATTCAGTACCCCTAAACTAAGAATTAACTCGGAATTGGATTCTAGAAATAAAATAATATCCTTGCATTGTAACATCTATTGCAAAGAGAATTAGTTTCCAAACAAGATTTTTGACCTGCCTGATCAATCTGATTATCACAACTTCTATTAAGCTTCATTTTGCATTGTTCTGACATGAAACAATGTGTAACAACAATTAAATTTATAGCAATTAAATTGCTCGTAAATACTCTTTTTCTCACGCTTTCTCTGATTCATATACATTGTAATTTGTTAGAAATAGGATTTGAAATTCCATTCATCATATGCCTACATTTCTTCACAAATTCTTAGTTTCCCCATATCATGTATAATTATATTATATATATTTATTTTCTTCTAATACTGAGTAATTATTTTTGAAAAATTTGGTTCACAACAATATTTTTAACAACGTCTTGTGCTATGAAATCTGGACACAAATAGAATAAAAATTATTTTCTACTGAAATTTCCTTACGAATTAAAATGTGCTGTGCCCATACTCCATATAAATCACAAACAGGATTTTCATAATTAATAAAATTTCACAAAACAAACAAAAAGGCTTACTGCTAAAATAACAATATTCACTCCATGAATATCTCCTTAACCTTTTAGCAGTCTCAGTAAACATGCAAAAGGAAAATGTGAATGTAACAATCACAAACATGCCCCGGGTCTCATGATTGAGTACATACTTAGGTTGAGTTGTCCACAGAGCTAAATTTTTAGTTCCTACAATATGAGCAACAAAGTGTGTGTAAATAGGATATTTAAAAAAATATGTTTTCAGAGAACTAAACTATTCAGATCTATTTGATGACTTTGTGATTTGGCTGTATGTTCATTTGAAAATTGCAACTCATGCTCTCTATCTAAGAGATCCATAGTTTGCAAATCACCGGGGAATACAGAATACACTTCTTGAGCATCTGTTTCTGGATCTGGTCTGTCATCCTTCAGCGACTGCATTAAGTCATTTATGTCGGAAGTATCCGTAAATTGTCCAACCATTTGCAAAGGAACTTCTTCAAAATTTCCATCATCAATGGATTTATGAATCGAGAAGTTTCTCTTCTGAACATCATCTTCTGCAATTTGCAAAGCATCGAGAAGAAACTTTCCATAACGTCTTAAATCCGAGTCACCACCAGGCACTTGTGACTGGTAACACAAGTAATCTATCTTTGGAATCCAAAATGATTTCATCCCACACCGCATATTCCAAAGTAGCTCATTCCAGTCCTTTTTGAAAGAATAACACCTCACATTTTTTGCTTCCACTGGGATGTCATCAGAAGAACAATATGGCAACACAAGTGAGAGAAGCTTCTGCTTGCACTGAGGGTCACACAATTTGTTAGACAGGATGCGCAGGGCAAGCAGATCAACCTTTTGATAAAGTCCTTCTTCTAGGCAGTCGGTGCGAGGTGGAGATGATATCACCAAAACGACATCTGCTTGGGAGAAGGCTTCTTGATACCAAATATGTGGATCCTTAAAAACAAAATGACCACAGGTTTTAGGAATACTGCTGAAGTTGTTCTTTTTATTTCCTAAAACTAACCTCATTAAGTGATGTTATATTGATATGAAACTTTATTGACATATGGATGGTGATGATTAGAGGATGGATTTTAATGAAATGCCATTTTTTCCTTTTTACTTAAGAACAATGTTGTTAAGTATAGAAATTCATTTCAAGTTAAGATAAAATGACACATTTATGTCTTTTTTTAAATTTATTATTATTATTATTATTATTATTATTATTATTATTATTATTATTATTATTATTATTATTTGTCTTTTTCATTGATTTCTACTAAAAAGTCCTTTTTTTTTTTCTCCCTCCACCTTTTTACGTAATTTTTAATGCATTTTTTTGGCTGATTTAATCTACTTTAACAGTACTTTCTTCAAACAATATTTACAAGGTGCAATTAATATTCACCATAGAATTCCTGAGAAGCATATTCGATTTCTTCGCTCAGATATTGAAATGTTAGCTGTTGCGAATACTATGCAATCTAAGGTTCCTGTGACACCTAGTGCACCATTGTCAGTTTGGCCGATTTCACGATAAATAAAGGCAGAGATTTCTTTTAAAGAGCAGTCCAAATCAAGGTTTGCAAGTTATGCTCACATAACAATAGGAAGAAGCATTTATTACTTCAATAACATACCTAACAGCTTAAGTTGTTCATCTGAAGTGGTTTGGTCAAATTTTTTACATGATTTTTAGAGCATTTTTAAAGCATTTAAAGATAATTTTATTAATCATTTTTGACAAAGTTTTAGGTCATCAAAATCCGCCCCATAGTGATGATGTATTCACATATAAAAAATAAAACAGTCTGTAAAGGGAGGCGTCTTTTTGTAAAACAACATGCAATGAAAACATCTGTATTACAAATTTCCAGCACACAGAAATTCAAAGAACATAATGCAACTATGTGAGAGGTGTACAATGTTTCGCTAGATGGCTAAGATCTTGGAGAAAAATTAAAAACCAATGAAAGTTTCTATTTTGAATGTGTTATTGTGCCTATTTTCATTCTGTACATATTGACTCAACTCTTAGTCAGTGTAAGACTACTTGTGATTCGCTGACTCATATGCTGTCGTATGAGTAACAGCAAGGCTCAAAGGAAGATGCAACTTGCCAATAAGTATTTGCTAATCTCATGTTATGTTATTAAACAGTAACTTTTTTAATTCTAAGCTACACAATACTTTTGCAATATTTTTGAAGCTTGTTTTGTAAAAATATTTATTTTATGGCAGTTTTTTAAGAGAGAAATTTCTTTGTTGTTCTTGAGCAGTATGTGATACTTTTTGGAAAACCATTGTGTGTGGTTTTGTTCAGTAACATTTTTGCTGCTGCGGTTACCAACATGATACTAATTTTGCATTCATCTTTGCAAGTGTAACACTGTGTGCCTTATTTTGGCATTATTTCGTGGAGCAAATAAGCTATTTCTCAAACATGTATGCATCACACACGTAGAAGCCTTAGTTATTCCAGGAACTAAATGACAGACTGCTGTCAATGTTATAGAGATAATGCATGGTTCAGGTAGAACATGTAAGAGCTCACAGTGGAAAAGACCACACTTGTGCTAGGGCTTTGTACAGCCATGCTTTTTGCCCATAAAATGTTATAAATAGTAGTCAATTTCTGGGAATTTTGTCTTTCCTATAAATTGTCAAATTTTTGGATTCCCGAATTTGTGAACATATTTAGATGACACTAGAGCCCTAGTTTTGTTCACAATTCCAATTGAAAACTGAAAAACCTTGATGAAAGGTTCTGATTAGATGGGGACAAAGGGCTGTACAGCCATCCAAATTTTTGCATTTCTATATCAGCTTGATCCGATTTTAATAAGGATACGTGGCGTTCTAGCTACACCTTGCCCCTGAGACATGAACATTCAAGAACTCCATTATTTAAGAAAAATTTGGAGACCTCTTTTTTTATGTTGTTGTTGCTACCAGTACCTAATTAGCAGGTAAAAAGTAAGGATTAGTTATATTCTAGAGGAAGATATGTTTTTTCGAGGCCACAACCAAAAAACATTGGGAACCATTTCTTTAGGGTATTCAGACCACACTTTTGATTCTGTAGTAGTACACAATGACAAGGAAAATTTTGGATAAGGATATTGGTTTGCCACTCCTTGCACTTTACAAATGTTTTAAAAGGCCCTACAATGCAATTCAATGGAAAATTTTTGGACATTAGAGCTTTATTACATTTTTAGTGAAACACAATGAAATGTTTTGAACTTACTTTTGATTTGGTCAGAGGTATGTCCAATTCGTCCACAAGAGCATTGATGTGACAATACTTTCTTAAGTACTTGGTTAACGCAAGAACAGCTTGTGTGTGAGATCTTAGACTTCTGGTGTACACTAACAAAACTGTAGGTAGAGTATCTGAAAACAAAACAAAAAGAAAAAGAAAAATTATGGTCACTCAATGAAAATAGTAAAATTCTTACTATTATCATGGCTTCTGACTTTTTCAACAAGATTCCCTTTTTATTTTAATATTTTGGCTGTTCCTTATACGTAAAACATTAGTTCTTCAGCCAGAATCAGCTAATGTTTGTTTTTTATAATATCAGATTATATCATGTATTTAGAAAGACAAGAATAAGTCACAGAAATTCTAAAAATTGCTGTAATAAAAAGAACAAGTATTGAACTTTTTTAACTAAGTGAACAACAGATATAATATATTGATTACCTATTGAAAAGCAAGAAGGTCAAGTGCCTTTAAAGAAAACATACTCCTATTTGATAGGGCCTAGCCGACTATTAGTTAGACACTTTGGATTGCTAATATTTTTGTACGCCCTTTGCATTAATGTTTTTTTTTTTTCTTTTTTTTCCATCTTAAAACCCTTCTGAGAGTAAATACTTTTATTTCTTTTAATAGGCCAGTAAAACTAGGATCCAAATAGGGTCTGTCTTCCAAAAATTGGAGGAGTTCTGGAAATTGTTTTGATCACTCAAGTAGGCCTCTGATAAGAGCTATCAGAATTTGTTCCAATTTTTGTACTTCTCTTTTTCTCAAATTCCTCGGAATCATAGTTAAACTGAAAAGTATATCACTACTAAAAATGTTAAGAATTAAGTTCTGCATCGATTGAGTACCAATAACTTGCAATTTGACTAAATGGTCTTGTAGAAATGCTGTGTGTAAAATGTTTTGGAAAAACATACCTCTAACAGATATGAAATCTCAAGGTAAAATTCACTACTTTTTCATTTGTGTAAATGCTAAAATGATTTTTACAGAATTACATTCCACAAAAAGCCCAATGAAAAGCTTAAGCAATACTTTCAACAAGAGTTGGCCTTATGATCTCTACTTATTTCTCTTGATGGTTATACTACAAACCCAAACAATCCAAAGTTATTTAGTATCTTCAGAAAGCATGTTTTGATATGGACGCAGGATTTCTGTTAGTTAGGGCATGGGAGGGAAAAGAACCAACTTGTTCTTTATTAGCAAAAATGTAGTTTATGTCAAGCTCTAGTAAGGCAAAAGGGTGTTTGATGGGGTACTCTGGTGAAGCAAGTGAGAAGAGAACTAAATCAGCTGACGGCTCAAAGGCCCACCAAAAATACCGCACAAAATGTAATTTTTCATGAAACAAAGTCAGCAACCATCACAAAAGAACAGTTGAGTTTTTATCATAAGTGCTCAAGCTCCACTTGAAAATCAGGGCAAACTCAGATTACTCATATCAGAGGCATACTTGAGTGACTAAAACAGTTTCCAGAACTCCATTTTGTGAGAGGCAGAACTCCTAATTTACTTCACCTATTAATGATAATTCCAAAATTCATTACAAAACATAAAATTGCTAATAAGTATCAATAATTAGTATTTGGAAATAATAACAATAATAATATCAATAATTTTTAAAACATCAATTGATTTGCTAGTACAATTTGAATCCTGAAGGAAATGTATTTCTCACAGTATGAAAAATGGATGAAAATTGGATAAAAATGGAAATATCTCCACATTTACTTTTACTTTGCATATGAAGATGCACTTCCCATTCAAACTGCCTAGCAAGGTAGTATGAGGCACAACTATCTATAGCAACAAGTCTGAATTTGCAATCTTCAGGGCAATAATAAGGAATTACTGTTTGGGGTTATGATGTTACTTCATAAAACAAGAAGTGCTCTTCTTATGAATCATGAAGCTGGTCATTACGTAACCGATAAAATCGCATCTGACATTACGTTATTTTTTGATTTTTCATATTTTTTATATTATTACTGTTTTACCACATATTTAAGAATGTGCGATATTTAATACTTAATTAATTTTAATACAAAACTTCAGTAAATGAAGGACATTTAGTAAGCATTTTCTAGACTTAAAAGAGCAACATACTAAATACATCAGAACTTAATCATGTTAGTGTTGAAGCACCTTTGGCAATGGTAAGATATTTGGTAAAAAATAATAGCTCTGTGGTGATAACTGATATGAATGAGTTTTGATGAACTAAAATATCTGTAATTGTAAAGACAGTTATGTTTGAATTTAAAAAATAATCTGTAACATAGTAAACAATTTTTAGGTATACAAATATATTCAACTTTTATTATTAGTCCAGCACAACGTTTTGATGAAGTCGTTTATCATCTTCAGGCACAAGAATTGTTAATTCTTCAAAACCACACATTATTTACAACTGATGATAAGGAACGACAATGGATTTCCTTTGCTTTTGTTCTCCCGAGGTTAAAAATAGAGGCAGGTTACTTTTAGCAAAGTGTAGCAAAAGAAATGCATGACTTGCACAAATATTGTTTGAATTAACTTTAAACAGTATGTGTTCATTTATTGTGCACATTTAAAGATTTTTTGTGAAGATTGGGAAAGAGGGGAGAAATAGGGGCATAAGATCTATTTAGGTGCAAGTATCTGAAAAGCTTTCAAGTGGTTTACATAACATGTTAAAAGTAAAAAGAAAGCCCCTAATGAGCTTTGTCTCTAGGCGCATCGTGTAAAAATCCGGTTACTAGTAATAACATCACTGAGTCAAGTTCTTTGATATATAACTAAGTGCAGGGCATTACTCTCGCAACTTTCCCTAAACAATGACCTTGCTTCCCCCTCTCTGGCACAATAAATACTTGAAGGCAAAAGCTTGCAGCGAGCACTGATGACAACATTCCAAATTCATCGTAACTGGTGTAAAATAGAAACAATTTTCTTTTGAAGACTAGATCTTCTGTCAGTTATTTTATCCAAAAAATCGAAAGAAATGACCGAAGCAGATAAAGATCTATCATAGGAGATACCTCAGACTCATGAGAAAGTTAAAACGCAAATTATTGAGAAAGTTGCAAAAGCATGACTCATTCTCCAGAGATTGGCATTGCTTTATAAAATCCAGTGGCTAATTTTGTAACTAATACCCCCACTCTACCTCCATTTCTTCAATCTATCATTCAAAAAAAGCTGCAAGAGTAATACATGTAGGTTACAACAGTTGTTCTCTAAATTTGGTATATCATTGCACTTCTACATGATGAAAGCATTGTCAACATTTTATAAACAAACATCTTTCTTTATTTGTAATACGAGGATGTTAATGAAAGTTACTTTAACTTACAGTACAATAATAATGAAAATCAGCACATTGATGAATAACATATTTTTGTAAAAAATATTGGTATTATTATATAATTCTTGCAAAATATGTAAAATAAAAAAAGGGCAGTTTGTGCATAAAATTTGTGTGATTTCACACTAAAACCACCAATATTGGTTTAACTGTTCATTTATATTTTGGTAGGCAGAATAAATATTGTCTTGAAACTGATAAATCACTTCAATGAAATTAGTTACGCAAAACCTCACAAATACATTTGTTATATTTATCCAACCATTGTTAGAAAAGGAAGAGATTATATTTTATTGAATTCAATTCTCGTGAATCTCAAATCAATACAAGAACAATTAGAAATTATAACAAGAAAATTGATAAAAATAGAATATTGTAAAGGAAAAATTGCTTTTGAAATAAGATTTACTGAACTAAAATTATATATTCTACAATTATAAAATAAGATAAAAAGAAAAGCAATGTTATGCCATGACATACATTATGTAAAATACATTGAAGAAATTGAGATGTACAAGTGTAAAAGTGAAGAACTAGAGATGAATGTGTAAAAGAAGTGCACAAAGAATAAAGACAGTTTTGAATGGGAGAATCTGTGAGACATATTTGAATTTGAAGAACATGAATGAACCCTTTTAAATTCAAGTTTTTTCAGAATTCAAGAATTTCATTGCCTCATCCAAACATTGATTCATGTTTTTTCTAAGCTTTTTCAATGTTCCATCAACACAACAATATACGCCATTTACTTAAGAGTAACATTCATGCATTAACAATGATAACACAACTAAAAATATCATGCCCAAGTTTCAAATTTGTCAACTACAACTTTGTTAACAAGATATTTTAAAATTATAATTTGTATACATACATCATGCTGATAACTTACCTACAGCTAAGAGAGAATAACGCTTCCAAACGTATAATGAATACAGGAACACAGGCAACAACACAATAGAACCAACAATGCCAATTAACAATGGTCGGTTTGAAACACTTTTTTCTGAGGAAGTAAAGCCACAACAATCAATAACAATGAACAAATAAGAAAGACAGTACAAGCACATACCAATAATTAACAAGCAAGACCCAAACTTACAAGACAATTTTACTTCCTAAGTCATTCCAAATAATAGGCAAAAAACAGACACAAGCTTCTCCGAAGATTAATCTTACCTTGCATGATAAAGTAAAAATTACTCATTAAACCAGTAATTTGATCACATAATTAATTGACTATATAACTACAATCCTCATGGAACTTAAAACAATTGCTTTAACACTTAGTAATGACATTCACCAATCCAAGAGCATTTACTAAATTTTTTTGATTATTTTAAAGAGCATTTACAATTAAATATTATTATTTATACCTTCTATGAGCTACACATATCATTGTAAATTATCACATGAAATACTATGAACGCTTGGAAATTGTCAGATTTTCTGGACATTTCCATTGCACGAGTGGTACTGAACAAGACTACTCCATGGATGTGCGGTAAGAAAAATCGGATAGAAAAAGCGACAAATTTTTTGAGACACAGTGGCCTGACTGGAGCATTTTATATGTTTAGCTAACACAATTGGTTTTGATTTCACGGGTGGACATACAAATTGGAATGTCACATTCTTCACTTCAAGCAGCATTCTCAACCCTAGACAGTGTGGCAAACTGAATTTTTTATTTACACTCTGTGAAGTCACAGAGGTTAAGTGAATTCGAGACACTGTGGGTTCCCAATCGGGTGACCATCTAGGAACCTCAGGATCTAACAGTACCGAACCTTGGCCAAAGGGATAAAAGCCACTGACTGACCGCGAAACAATAACACTTGACAAAAAAAAAAATAACGGAGGATTACTCAAAACTGGGCGCTTAATTCCCAAGAAAGGTTCAGAGACAGGTTGCCTCAAAGATGCAACAAAATTATTTTAGTAATTTATGGCACAAGAGGAAATTTTTTGTAACCCTTCAAGGCAAGGCAAGGGTGGGAATGGTAACATTCCAATTGGGATAAAGGCAAGAGGCTGTGTGCATCAATAAGTAGCCAGCTTAGCACACTATTACGACCTGCCTCCTCAAGATGACAAAAGGAGCCAAGAGAATGAAATTATGTATTTTTAAGATACATTCATTATTTTATCCCCTATCACAATGTAAAGGAAAGTGAAGATATCTTCTTCACTTTTGTTTACACAGTATACTTAATAATTACTTACTACAGTATACTTAATACATAGTATATTTAATAAAGTTTTAAAAAAAATAAAGCACGTAAATACATTCCAATTATAGTCAAACTCAACATTCTTAATTGTTCTAATGAGGTAGTTGTGAAGATGTAAATTAATTTATCAATCACAGTACATTATTTAATACAAATAATCAATAACTAAAACATAAATATTATATTTGAAGTGAAATAAAATACTCACTAGTGAATTAATAATGTTTTGCCACTATATTAAAATGTCAAGTTATTGAATAAATACATCTTTTGAAATTGAGCAATATTATTCAAATCTGACAAATGCAATAAAGCTACATTGCAAACAAGTTGCATTTTTTTTATATAACTGCACTTTATAATAGAATCACAGTCATTTTTGGAAACAAATTTCATAAGTGAAGTTCTGTGCAACGTGGGTATTATGATGGCATACTTATTTAACATTTGGGTGAAAAATAGCGGTAGTTTGTGCAATTTACCTTCATCTTCCCATGTTTCACAGCGATTCTCTGAATATGCAATGACGCAATTATTCCTTTCATAAACAATTAATACATCATAATCTGAGATATAAAATGCCATTTTATGTACAATTTTTTGCAATGGAAAAGGTCTATTATCAAGCTGATATTCATTATTTACAATTTCTTAAAATAAGATTTAAAAATTAACTATTGCCAAAAAGTTCTCCAAGACCTTTAATAAATGGAACTGAATCAATATTACACTATTAACCCTCTCTGATCCTTTCTTGTTTTGGCTTTCCTCAACTTGTGGTGTAATGTCTTACACTGACAGATTTTCTCTCTTTTACTGATTCTGGTGCTTTGCCTGTAGGAGTGGGATTTATATTAATTAGTGTACTTTATTCAGATACACTGAACCTGTTAGTTACCAGCACTCAAAATTTCTCTTTGGGAGAGATTAGGCAGCAGATTTCATCTATTTGCTACTACCAGATTACACCCAACTTTCAATAAAAAATAAAGGTGCTTTTTCTTAAAAACTTCAGTAGTTGTTAAGATGGTGTTGAAACATAAGCATTTGTGGTTTACAAAGCATGAAATATGTGACTTCATTCTGATTGCGAATGTTGCTCAAGAAATAACAGTAGGCCAAAAAATTTAAACTTCATTTAATTACATTAATCATAATTTTTCGTGTTCTGTAAATAAACTAATACTTACATTATTCAAATATTTTTTATACTCATTCATATTAAAAATAATAATTGATATTATAGTTATTCAGAGATATAAACTACATACAAGTTGACAAGCAATTCAGGCACCATATAGCAAACATTCTCTAGAGACACACATAAGGTGTTGGAAAATAGTTCATCATTTTTTACATGCTAGTGTAAAGCAGCAGAGTTAAACTGCAAGCCTTAACATGCATATTTATGGCCTGCAGCAAATTACAGCAAAAATTGGCACACTACAGCTCATGGTTCAACTGAAGGCTGATGCCTCACTTCATATAGTTTACAAGCCATTTAACAACATTTTCAAAATTTCAAGATCAGGCATTGCCAAATAACAAAGTTGCATAAAATGCCGAAGATAAGAATTCTATAAATCTTTCAAGTGATCAATTTGTTTAATTAAGATTATGTACATAGGATTAAAATTAATATTAAGTATAAAAAAAAAATTAATAATAATAATAAAACTCAATACTGACCAACATTAACAGATAAACATTTAAATCAAAGATGACTCTTTCAAAGATAAGGAGTAGTAGCGTTTAAGTCCAAGTTGCATGAGGTATTATTACAAAATGGGCAATTTGCCTTCTTTGTAATAAAAACTCATACAACTGCTGTATTTAAATAATTTCTTTATTTTAACTATAGCCTTAAAATTTGCTTATAACTTTGAACCAAATTTTTTTGGAGTAAGCCTCTTGGCCTCTAGATACTAAAATATATTTACTATATTCACAAAAAGTGTTAGCTGACCTCTGATTTACTGTTCAAGAAAGAAATCAAAATTAAATTTGACTCTCCAATACTCCTATATAAGAAAAAACAAAGCATTGTACATAAATACTTGAGAACCTGTATTGACATTTTGACATTTGGGGAAAATTGAGAAAATTTCAATTTACAAGCATCACAAGATTACATGATTTTCCTAAAAATATTCCCTCATAACAGTAAAAAATTCAAGGTTTTTGGATACATACCTATATTTATAACTGGTGATTTAAATACTTCACATCTTCCAATACACCTTTTATCAAGAATTTCAACACTAAATTGTATTTCACTAGTGCTGAAACCAACATCATATGAATATGCAAACTGGCCAAATTCATTCGGAGGATCTGAAACTTTCTTGCTTTCAGCAACTTTACCATCTTGATACACAGTGACATGAAACTCTGTTACATCCCTCAATGTCTCCCAATACAAAACCATTAAGGGCAGTTCTGATATATCCATGTACATGAAGACTGGTGTTATGTTTAAAGGTTTGTGAGGCACTGGAATAAAAAAAGAGTAAAGAACATGAAATGTTTTTTCCAAGATAAACATACATTCTACTCATGGCTAAATGCAATATAAAATACAAACAAAATAGTGCTATCAAGTTTTCGTGTAACTGTCGATGATTGCCTGTAACAGGAGTCCTCAACTCCCCCAATGCCCATGGTGCCTGCAATCCGTTTTAGATATGCCAGCTGCTCATAAAAGGTGCCGCTGCACTGTGGGATTGTACGGCTTTTATGTTTCAGCCTCAACATGAGTAGTGGGAGTAGCGGTGCAAGTAGTAGATGCCAGTTTGTGTTATGTAAGTCAAACATGTACTCAATGTATCTAGTTCATCTTTTATTCCTAGTTGCATGCTCATATTTAGTGCCTTCTACTTCGTTGTTTTTAAATACTTTGACCCCAAATATTTTAACCCCAAAATGAGTGGTTCAAGTAAAAGAACCACTGTTAATATTGGTTTGTCAATTTTAAGGATAAATATGTTTGTTTGTTGTGCAGCTGTAGTGTTGCAGTCGCAAAAAAACACAATATGGAATGTCACTTCAAGACAAAGCATGCCACTTTTAATACCAATTATCCACTTCAATCTGAATTAAGAAAGAAGAATATAGCTCAACTAAAGTTAAATCTGTCAGCCCAACAATCTGTTTTTACTAGGCCTGCCGTAAAATCTAAAAATACCAGTGATGTGGTGAATGAATTGTTAAAAGAAGCATTTCTAGCTGGCCCCGATTGTTTATTTCAGGGACTCAGGTGAGAACTTATGGATTTTTTTTCCTGTGTATAGGGCAACTTGGACCATGGATGCATCCTGCTTCAGCAGGAGTAAGTACATTTATCGGGAGGAGGGGGGGGGGGGACCAGCATTTTAGCTGAATCCTGATTTTTCATTGTAATCATGTTCTTGTCACAGTCGTGCTTCAACACCCTTTTAACTGTTTATTTTTAAATATAGAATGTTTTTACCTTCTAGAGAAGTATTTGAGTAAAAATTTTGATTTTTAGTTAAACATTTATTTTGTCTATAAAGACCCATGTACCATTATGTAAACATGTGTGAAGTAAGATATTCACTAACGATTGTTGCACCATCAATGTTAATAAACATTGCTAATTTATTTTACATAAAAATATAAGCAACAATTTTCATGTTTAAATTGTATTTTTGTTTATTTTATTTCAATAATTATTTTAAGATTGTTTATGCACATTTTGTGGATTATGGTCAATATCCAACTATAAATATACCTTGAAAAAAATTCAAGGGGCCCTTACCGGCATCAGAGAACGTGCTCTTAAGTGCAAAAAGGTGGGGGACTGCTGGCCTGTGAAGTTGATGATAATGGCCAGTTACCATGATATTCGAGACAATCAATACAATTCAATTACATGCAATTATAAAATCCATTCTCAAACTCTTTGAGAAATTAGTATATGACATTTTGGTCTCCAGGTTTAGATGTTTTCTCGCCTAAGCAACATGGTTCCTTCATGGAATGTCGACCTTAACAAATCTTACTAACTTTAATCAGTACTTATTCACACTCCTTGACAAATGTAATCATATTGATGTTGTCTACACTGACTTTGCTAAGCATTTAATAGGGTCAATCATGCTATCTTACTTTAACAAATTGCATAGATAGGGAATTGCACAATCCATTGTCAACTGTCACTGGTTTGTCTTACCTGATGCAAAGGATTCATATAGTTTCCTATTGTGGTACGAGGTAAAGATATTTTCAGCTACTCTGGAGTTTCTTAAGTCTCACATCTCAGTCCGCTCCTGTTCAATATTTTTGTTAGTGACACAGGCAACAATTTACTCCACTGTAAAGTTCTAATCTTTGCAGATGATGCTAAATTTTTCATGGCTACTAACGAAACATCGAATGCTATACTTTTTCAAGGTGATTTAGATGGGGTTGAGGGCTGGTGCATTACAAATGGTACAACTTTGAATGCAACTAAGTGCAAATTGGGTCGCTTTTCTGACAAACATAATCCTGTTGTTTTCCATTAGTATTTGTCTGATAGTGCAGTCTCTTCAGTAGATCCTACCAGAGGTCTTGGTGTCACTTATTCCTAAAACGATTTTTTCTCTTTGCATATCAACAAAATAGTAAAAAAGGTATTCATTTATTCATTAACAGGTCTTGTAAGTAGAGCAATTTTGGAAATTCATAATCCATACTACTTCCTATTACTACTTCTATATAAACCAGTAGTTCGACCCATTTTGGAACATGCCTCCCCAATATGGTCACCGTATCTTCTAAAAGACATACCCCATATTGAGTCAGTGCAGCATAGATTCTGGGGGGTGTATCCTACTACCTATCATTATAACTTGAATATCGTACCTACTAAATGAAGCAATGTCATTTAACAACCACGACTATGGCCCTTTATTAGAGAAATTGAAAACCCTACAGGACAGAAAGACTATTACTGATAAGGTATTAAACTTTAAAATTATCAACAGTATTGATGAGAGTAATCTAATTAATGAAATTACATTCAATATTCCTTCATGACCTTTGCGTCAATCTCATATTTTTCACCCGAACATCATGAAAACACTGATGACAAAGTGCATTGTCTCTTGGAAGTGGGGAAGGAATTTCAGATGAAAATAGATTCTTTTGGTGTCCCCATTTTCATCTTTCAAGACCAAACTCTATAGTTTAAATTTAATTAATACAGGTATGACAACTACCTTTTTAATACTTTTACTGTGAAAATTGAATTATTCTCATTTATGTATTAAGTTTTATGTAATAACTTCTTGTTCTTGTGACTTACTGTTTAATTTTTATTGGTTTTATTTCTTATTTGTGTCTTATACTTTTTGCTGTGACATTGCAAATACAAATTGTAACATTCTAGTTTTTATTCTTCAGTATTTGCATGTAATGACTTATTTTATGTCATTTTGGTATTTTGTGTCCTTGTTGTATTCTTTAGTTTTGTTTTCAAGAGATCAAACTTGTAAATTTTTTTCTTTCAATATTGAAAGTTTTTATGTATCAATTTTCTTGTGTTAAATGAATAAATAAATAATTAAATAAATACTCAGATGATATTTTGCAGTATCTAACAATTTCAAATTAAATCCTAAAATGAATCGATTTTTTTTACCTTGATTTTTGAGACAATCAATACTCAACACACTTTATACAAAGAAAAACACCCTCCACATTTTTTCTTCAAACTTTTTCTACAGGTAGAAGAAGAGATGCTTGAAAGAATGGCATGGGTTTAACGTTTGTTGAACTTTCGAGAATTTTCGGGACTTGCAAATTTAGAAATTCTGTGAGAAAGAATGTGTTGTTGTGGCACCACTAGTTTCATCGACATATCTAACAATATCTATTTTATTGACAAATCAGACTAATATGTAAATATAAATACAGTAAAATCTTTCTAAACCGAAACCTCCACAAGCCAGAAACCTGCCCTAACTGGAAAATTTCTCTAGCCCATAAAGTTATATGCTTCATTACACAGCATAAGATGGAACCTGTCCAACCTGTAAACGGAACTTCATGGAACAATTTTTCACGTCCTTCAGGGGAAAAAAATCTTTATGAAATGGAATTAATGTGAATTGGGGACACAAGTAACGGGGTTATAGACTAGACGGTCATTCTTTCATGGTTGTTAAGGTGCATCTGCAAGTCTTTTAAATTCTCTATCCCTGCAACATGTGATTTAGTTGTTGCAACTGCATTGTGAAGGAGAGGGGCTTCAGCTGACAGTGTAGAATTTGACGGGCTGGGTCACTTGTCTCTCAAGGCGTAAGCTGCAGCGGGAATCCCCTCCGCGCCCCACCCAAAAACCTCACGAGTGTGGGTAGGGGTATGGGAATGGCTTCTATTCCTACGTCTTCCCACCCCATGTTCAACCTTAAACCTCCTCGCCCCTAGGCGCATTGCTCAAAAAAAACCTCGCGGAGTGTGGGTAGGGGTATGGGAATGGTTCTATTCCTACGTTTGCACCCTCACACCTGGTTCAAAACCTAACGCTCTCTCGGCCCCTAGGCGCATTGCTCCAAACAAACCTCCGCGGAGTGTGGGTAGGGTATGGGAATGGCTTCTAGTTCCTACGTCTTCCCACCCCATGTTGAAAACCTTAACCTCCTCGGCCCCTAGGCGCATTGCTCAAAGCCATGCAAGGAGAGCAGAGAGATTAGAACTCTGGGCTGCGACGCATTGTGCTTCGAAAGAGTTGGCAAGCAGTTCAATTACAACCATTACGCAGTCAGGCGGTGTGTATTTTTGAGTTTCACAAAAAGTTTAACAATACGAAAGCAATAAAACACTACCATTAGATGAAAAAGTCAAACTTATGGAAGCAAGAGAAACTCAAAGCCAACACTGAAGAATGTTTAATATTCAATTATTGGTGATTTCTTCCATAAATTCATTGAATATAAATATATTTTAATTATCATAATACAATCATTTTTATTTGAATTATTTCTTTACTTAAATTATTTCACTAGTTTCAGAATGAAAATATCAATGTTACAAGTGTTGTGATACGAACACTCCTGCCTAAAACAAAAAACCTCCCTAAATTGAAATTTTTTTGTCCTGATCGATTCTGGCTTAGACAGATTTCACTACTGATACACTTTGTACCGCATTGAAGTTTTGCTTCAAATTACTGAATATCTTTGGAAAAAAGGCAAGAACTACAATTTTTGCAAAAATTTCCTAATTGAAAAATAGCTGATCCAATGTCTCTAAACTATCACTTATAAGAACTTAGTTGCAGATATTGCCCTTGTTTAAATACATATTTTCCCTTATCATCATCATCATTATTATTATTATTATTATTATTATTATTATTATTATTGGCATATATGCCTTTATAAACCATGCTACACAATTAACATGTGTAATTTTTCCAGGATCAGCATTTCAGCTGTATCCCTCAGTACCAGGTTGTGACGCCTTGAAGTGTGAATTATGAGATGATATGATGATGATGATGATGATGATGTCATGACTACACAGGTCTTGCACCTGCAGCCTCCTTGGCACAGATGACCGCTGCCGCAACTGTCTGCGTAAGAGGGCCGACTTTCCATGTTCTTTTTGTTGTTTTCTCCTCCTTTTTCTTGTTGTTGTTCATTTTTTTCGCCTTATTGTTATTATTATTGTTACTTTTTATTAACATTAATATTATTGTTATCATCATAATTATTATTATCAAGATTAATTTTCCTCTACATCACGACTTAAGATGTTATGAGTCACCTGAATATAAAATCTACTCAAAGTTGCAACCAACTTCCTAAGGAGCACATCGAGTGACTGTCTGTGCCTCTACAATACTTTCGCAAAATGTGGGCTGTTAAAGCAATTTCTTGCATTTGCCAGTCTTTTGAATGGCCTGAAAGTTTAGACAAGTTTTAACACAAATTTTGCAGAACAAATTCCAGAGCTCCGTTGACTATCAGGACGATGTATGCTTTCATGCCCCAGATTTGGCTGATCTCGATTTACAAACCCTTGTATATATGATGTTTCTCTGCCTCCTTGGTTACGCCATTTTGTCCGCAAGGCACAGTCACATCTACAAGTAGACATGATTTCTTTTCCAAATTCTGGATAACAAAATCCAGTTGCTGCTAATCCACTTGAATTTGTTTGTTGTACAGTGTTGTGCTGAGTCCAAAAGGCGTCACTGCTGTTGGTGAGTGTCCTACCACTTCGGGCATGTGTTTGGAATGTCGAGGGGATCTGCCAGTAGAGGTAACTACACACCCTGTCATGTCTTTTTAAGGATTTGGTCTTTGCTACAATTGGACATGATGAGACAATATGATCAATAGTTTCTACTTGTTCCAGGTAAATGCAGCATTTGTCATCTTGGGAAATTATGAGAATCACTTAATCATAATGTCATATTATTGTTGTTGTTGTTATTATTATTATTGTTATTAGTAGTAGTATTATTGTCATTGTTGTTGTTATTATTAATATTATGTCAGGTCTTCTTTTTCTTATGTTGGTATAAGATCATTTCATGATTCTTATCAAGTACACGTCAAATCACCTGTGCCCTGTATTATGAAAACCTCACCTATTATGACAATTAAATTAGTGTGCTATCTTCCAAATAAAAACACATTACAATAATCCAATTTTATATGGTACATTGCAGTCTGTATTTTCATTATTAAATAATAATGTTTAGGGAATATTTTTCATTTTCAATTTGATACTGAAACCGTCATCAATAATAACTATTAAAATAACAGCACTGGTAAATGTAACAGAAACAATGACAAAAGAGGAAGGGGGAGTTAATACAAACAAAGGAAGGGTCGGTCAGTGATAGATGAATAAAGTGCATGCAAAATATTGCCTGAAATTTTATTACTTTTGATCATAAAATTTATAGTTTTGTTAGTAAAGTTTCTGAAACAAGATGTGAAAACTTTCTTATTTCTTCATAAAAGATCCTTACATTACTGTAATCATTATGATTGCAATAGATCTTATACTGGAGTAGGGAACTTTGTAATTCAGAATTTTCATGACTCATGTTCTTTGAGTTCTGTTGTTTCCCTTTTGGGTTTGTCCTTTACAGGACAAAAGGCAATCTTTGCAATCAATTATTTATTTATTTATTTATTTATTTATTTACCAAATGATATTTTTTAGGATGCATTTTTTAGGTGGAGAGGGGGTATTCAAAATATTCTAAATTTGCATAACGTCAATTATGGACAGACACTGTTATGCTTCTTGTGTAACACTTTGCAATTCTGTAATCACATAATAATATTTTTTTTAAATCAAGAGAAAAACAAATACAATACTTACACAAGTTGTAATGGCGAGGAACTTTCAGAATATAATGTCTACCAGCAGAAGTCTTTTTTCGAGCATCAAAGGCCTCATATTTGAAGTCAAATTCTTTATCTTCATGTTCTACACTCCAGAGACAGTCATAAAACAGACTTGCATCGAGAGGCATGTGTATTCTAGGATTTAAATTAAATTCACGGCAGAAATTAAAAGTTTCATTGGAACGGTCCTTGTACTGCAAGCGCAGACCTAGAAAAAATATATAAAATACATATAGTAAGCTTTCAACATGCAACAAATCTCCAATAAATTTTTAAATAAACAAAGGTACAATAAACTATGTACGAGATGAGTTTGGTTTTAATCTATTAAATAATAATAAATAACAACAACAACAAAAAAAAAAATCTGGCATATACCGTCTGCACTAAATAAACTGGACTAAGAATCTATTATGTTATTACAGAAGTACCAAAAAGAGATTTACTAATTTGTCATATCAAGTTTAAAACAACATTAAATGTATGCCGATTAATATTTTAAAATTGAATTAAAATATATTTTTAAAACAAGATCATCGTTCAATTTAACACAGGAAACTCAACTGTTCATAAATATATTTCTCTACAATTATGCATTTAAATTAGAAAGAGGTATGTTTTTTTTTTTTTAAATTTGTTTTATAATAGAACATAGCTCTATAGGGTTCTTTGTTTCACGTTTCTTAGATTACAAAAGCACTTGCAGCAACAGTGGCATTTCTCAAAAAAACTTGTATTTCAGAATTCACAATTAAATTTTCAAGTTCACATATAAAATACAGTGGAATAACATTACTACAACAACCGGTCTCCTGTGGTAAGTGCAATTTTCCCATGATAACAATTGAAAGAGCTCCAAAATTCTTTATCTTCTTATGAATAATTCACTCCTGGAAATTTTAACTAATGCTATTATTGCAGCAAGAGAGGAATGCTTTAAATAAAGTAACCTTATCTTCCAAAAATAGCCCATGGCTGATTTTGGTATTCATCTTTGATTTGTGTGAACTTTTCCAATATTCTAATTTTAGTCTTTTAGTGAATGACTGAAAATTTTAGCGAGTGATCTCTGACCAAACTGAGTCATTTCAACTCCAGGAAGATTTGGATAGATTGAATTGTGATTTTCGAATAATTCATTAAATCTCAATATCAATTCAGTACACGTCTTCATTGCAAATGGGGTTGAAATGAAATAGATAATTGTTGCATGCTAGATAATATTATTTTAGAAAATGTTGCTACCGTAAGCGAGTTGGCAGTTATTATGGATGACTGACTTTAGTTAAACATGATAATTTATTATTAATAGCTCATTGAAGGTGCTTGGATTTGTAAAAAGAAATAACACAAAATTGATGTACTGTTCAGTAGTTTGGTCTCCTCAAACAAATTTAAAGATACAAAACTTGAATGAAAAGCATATATAACAAACCCGAGATACTTCCATGATTTTTCTGAAATTGCAAATGTATTTAAAGGACCTTCATTTAAGTCAGCACGTGATACAAATTGCTGACAAGAAGAATAAACTGTGTTGGGATGAAAGACTGTTTTGAAACTTATAATAATCCATATACTGTTAGATCTAATACACTTCTGAAGAAATTTAATGGTCAAACAATTTTTATGTATTCTTCTGCTGTACCGCATCTTTCTCGATGTGTAAATAAATTTTTGACTACAAACTTGAACTAGAGATTATTAAGTAGCGTTGTTATGAATATAATTGATCATGCTTGACTAATAATGAGGATGTATTTATTATGGAACAATTTTATATCAATTACTACTTTTTCAATTTTCATCTATTTTTTAATGTTGAATTCTTTTATATTATGTATTCATCAGTGGACTCAGGCTTGTAATTATCTAAGTTCTATTTACTGCATTGGGCCAGTGAGCCTGATGTAATAATTCTATTAAATGAACAAATAAACTTTGTAATTATCATAATCAAGATATTTAATTGCTCTAATATGTTTTTCACAATCATCTATGGACAGCTGTAAACATATGGATTGTTGTATACTTCTAGCAAAAAACGATTTTGACCTTCAATTGCTCTAATTGTATAATTATGACATATTCTAATCGAATAATAAAGTCTAATTGCACTATCAAAATGAATTGAAATGCGTTTAGTAGAATATTTTATGAACTTTTAGCATTGTGTTCATTTTATAATATTTACTCACAGTTTTAATGGTATTTGCAAAAAAACTGAAAGAGCAGACAATAGATTCTTCAATTTTACTTAAATAGACACAATGTGTCCTATAAATGTAAAAAATTGCAAAATTGGAACACTGGAGGTAATCCAAGTATTGCAGTTGAAACATAGCATTACATTTTAATTCATATAACAAACTTGTATTCTTATAATAGTAGACAAATGAATACATTGATGAATCACAGAAAAACAACACAGTATTCAGAAAACTCTTGGATAGAACTTTGACATATGCTTATAATATGAACCTTTTTCACTGAATTTTTCAAATATGTTAATGATAGATATGTCAACTGAAAAACTTACGTGTCCATTTTATGTTATGAAATGTTGAATTGAGCCCAGTTGTGAAATACGGGGAATTTTCTATTTTAAATAGATAATAATGAAGCACAACTTTTCCTAAATCACCACTGCCACTTCTTCTGAGTGGCAAATCTCTGCATTCTGAAAAAAGACAGAAACACCATCATCACCAAATTCACAAAGACAATCATTAGAGACAACTACAATAGTCTTATTCCTAAGACACTGACTTTGAAACAGATTTCTAATTATCTATTTGACATATTTTATATTCATGCCACAATGATCTAACGTGTAATTTTTAAACACTGACAGAAACAGTCTCAATACAAACAGAATTCAAAGTCTCTTAAACACGATTCTGATTTGTAAAATAAATCATTTTTTTGCACATCCTCTAAAAAACAGAAAAAGTTATGAGAAAAAGATGTTTAAGACTCTTGTACTTATTATATATACTATATATACAGGAACCATCTCATGCTTCATCTAATGATATTTTCCACATTACAGTTATAGTGTTTTTTAAGTTAATAAAGCATTAAAAACTAAAGCTGATGGAGTATTTATCTCAAAATCTAACTTTTTGGGGATACGGCAGGTTTTTAAAGAATACACAATTTTCTTTCCTTTCTGCTTACGGAAATTATGGTATGGTATGATCATAACAGTATGTCATTGCCTTTATCTATAAAAAAATAGTCAACACTAGGCGGAAGAGCAGGCCTAATAGCCTGAGCCTCACCACTAATAAAGACAATTTTATAATAATAATAATAATAATAATAATAATAATAATAATAATAATTATTATTATTATTATTATTACTATTACTACTATTACTACTATTATCACAATTATTACTATTACTATTACACTGGTTTAGGATATTTTACTGAATATCTGAAATTACAAAAATAGGAACTAGTTTACATTTGCATTATCAGATGTAGTGAATCTCTGATAAAGTTAACCAAACAATTGGCCCATTGAAGTTCACTATAACTGGAGTTGACTACATTCATAAAACGAACATTCATGTCATAGAGAGCAACAGTCAGTAAACAACGAATAGAGCATAAATTACTACAGGAACCATACATAATTATATCCCTCAAAAATAAATAGATTCTCTGAAAGCATGAAACGTATTACAGACAAGTATAGATTTTAACGAATATGCAAAAAATGCTTAATTTCACGAATATGCACCAACAGGAAAAATTGCCAACCATGCACTAACATATTACTCTACATTGCATCCAATCTCAACCAAAAGTCAAGAAATTTTATTTAACTATGCCATGAAGCAACGGACAAAAACGTGCAGTATCACAGAAATTCCCTCTCCAAATATGACTATTAAAATGCCCTAACAATATTTTAACCTTATCCTTTCTTGTGGTCTCTAAAACTCTATAATTTGTCAAAGAAAATGTCTTTCATTTAGGCTTGGTGTCCTCATTTAGAGAGTACACTCCCATGAGGGAGACTTTCTGACTTCAGTTCCAAAAAAAAGTAGTTGTCTCATTAACAGGCTAAAATTTGGTAACCTTAATGCTATGTTCTACTGATATTCCTGATTCTCATGATCTTTATCAGATCACTCAGCAGTAAAAATGCAAGTAATCCCATTTCCTTCTCCCTTCACCTCTTGACATTGCTACTAATCCGTTTTCATTTTTTCATCTCTTTGAAGACTACTTTATCTTTGGTAGAGATCCCTTATGCAATCCAACATCTAACATTCATTCATTAAATATTAAATTATTATATATTCAATATTCATTCCTTCCTTTTGTCTTCCCCTTGAACAGAGCTATTATATTCATTTTCATTTTTTTCAACTGTTTGAAGACTGTCTTTGGTATAGATCTCTTATATATTCTAACATTCAATAATCAATATTCATATATACTTTATATTCAATTATTCATTATTCAATTATTGTACATACAATATTCAATACTACATACAATATTTATTTAATCATTAGCTGTTTTTAAAACTTATTTTGTCTCAATCATATTCAGAGGAGCTCTTGTAGAATTGTTTGAACTTTTTTCTTTTCTGGAGAATGGGTTGCAGGCCCAGAGCTCCAACCTACTCATCTACTTTGTTCTGCAAAGTCCTTACATTACACACATTTTAAAATAATACAAATCTATCTTGCTAAACCACATGTTCTGCAGGGTGAAAGAATACATAATCAACAACACAACTCTCCTTTTAAAAACAAATTAAAAATTCTATATCATTACATACATTGGTTTTATTTTCAAAGCACCCACAAACTGTGACTGAAGAACAACTGTTATCCTCAGCCTCCTAAAGTAATAATTCCCAAATTATGGCAATATTTTATATTCTTAGTTTGTACTGAAAGTCAATATTTTATCTTAAATGTCAATAGGTTAAAAACAGTTCATAGAATTTATAATTTTTGCCTCTAAAGATTAAAATATCACTTATATACATTAATTTGCAAATTCTGAATTTATATTAATTTAAAAAAAATGCATTCTTTAACTGACATGTCACTAAATGCACATGATAAAACAATTTTATCTCAAAAGGCAAATAGAAAATGGATCACAGTAAATATAACAAGCAATGGTACAAAAACAGTTAATGAACACATTTTGTTTAATTGAATTCATCAAACTTGCACAGAATAATAAATTGGCAGAATACATACTTGCACTATTTTTCTCTATTCTTCTGATATTACAATCTTCTTTCAAGGCATTCAAATGAACCAACTGTAAATGTATAAATAAACTATAAATATAATGATATTTCATAAAAATTATGCATGTAACACAGTACATATTCACTGTAGAGTGTATAAAAGCATGGCTTACCTGATGAAAACATGTCGGTCCATTATTTACACAGTGGAGTTGATTATTAACATTACTGAAAACGGTTGGTAAGACAATAGCAAGAAAATATGCCTCCAACCAATACATTATGTTCAACAGTTCATTAGAATACCATTATTTTCCAAACACATCACATTTCCAGAAGAATGTGTTTCAAAGGGAATCAACAAACCCAAAAGTTTTATCAAAATATATCTGCACATTTTTTTCATATCAACATTCACATTTTGAGGCAAGTCTTGAAAACAAACATAGAAGTTGTCAATCTGTCACCTCTGGAAACAATTCAGACGCATTACGTTCACACGCTTATTTTTATGGAAAAGAAATAACATTACTATTTTCTGTCACCAATAAATGCGAGAAACAACACGTAAAATAACATAATTCTTCATGCAGCGTTTTTCCACACATGACAACTTTGTTTTCAATGTCAAAAACAACACTTTTAAACATCACAAATTTGAAACAACGCAATTTATACATAACAAATTAGTTACAAGTAACTAGGAACGACATGGAAACTACTTTCGACAATAAGCGTAAATACGAGTATGTAAAACAAATTCACACATTAAAACCTTCCCCCTCCTCCATATCCACAAAGTTCAACCACAAGTTATAACCCGTAAATTCGGGAATACATTTCGAGACTTACCGAAAATTTATGAATTCACACGACACAAATCAACATCCACTTATCACGCCAGCGTATTATATCACTTTCCATTGCACAAAAAGCGTTCTAAGGGATCGACCGGAAATGATGATATTCGCACATCACTCGGGATTACACTTGTTTATGCCCTTATCAATATATCAAGTACCACAACACCATATGTTAACCTTGTAAACAAAGATCTAGAGTGAGGGAAGGATGGACTAGCGAGATGAAGAGCACTGCAGAGTGGCTCCTCGCGTCGGAACGGGTCTTTCAGGTTCTTCTTTAGGTTTCTTTTTTTAATTTCTTTTTATGTGAGCTTTTTGACGAGCAAGCATGTTTACGCCATGCATGCACACCAATGCAGTCTTAAGATCGGGAGGACCAACTTACGAACGAAATTTTTGTCACTGTTTCAAACTAAACAACAATACCGAATAATACCGAAGCACAAGTAGCTAAAATTGGAACGTAACCTTTTCAAAACAATTCCAGATTTAAAAATATTATTAATTGTCAATTAAAAAAAGTTAAAAATGAAATTAAAAAAGGTAAAATTGCTTCATTATGTATTAGCAGCTATAGAAATGCTCCTAAAACGAAGTTGAAACCTATTTTTATTTAGGCTATTCATCATTTGTTTGCAGAATTTTCAATTCTCATTATTTTTGATCCTCTTCACAAGATACTTCAATTCCCATTAGTACCTACTCAGGGAAGCATCAAAGAGATTTAGGAAAGAAAGAAAGGAAAGAAAAAAGAAACACACACACACACAACAACCCAACAACAAACAAACAAACTTAAGCTGCACATTAGGACATAAAATTATTTCATATTTTGGGCACAACTCAAAAAAGATAGTCTCTTTAAACCAGGCTTTTGTGTTCCAAAGGAATAAGTTTTATAGGGGCGGTGTATTATGTGAGGGCATGAGTGTATTACTCATGTATATTACCGTTGGGGAGTAATTGTTAATTTTATATACAATTACTTCATGTGAACCGCTTCCATTGAAGAATGATAATTTTTGCCAGATTTTCTTCTCATAAATATTTGTGAAGTTGGAAACTGATCTTACTTGCATTAAATATATTAAGTGTGCAAGAGATGAAATTAATGGAAAGAAGTAATTTATCAAGAACATGTAAATATTTATGTTGATGCTAAACCTGACAGATTGGATAATTTTTCCATGGAAGTGTGCTTTATTGTATTAGTGTGACGTACAAAACTTCACCAAAAACACACACACACACACACACACGCCATAGACATGATTACAGCATTTCATTTCTCTTCTAGTATTAAGGTGACCACTTTTTTTGCAATGAAAAAGAAGATTAATAAATTTAAGAAAAAAGTACAATATAAATAAGTGAAACAAAAATGCAATAATTATGCTGTCATTTCTTTCAATTTTTTAATTAAATGAGTATATTTCCATTAAATGAATATTTTTTTGTCAATATATCATTTTCTAACAGTATATTGGAATTTTCGGAGCAAAAAATGTCCTTCATATTGAATTTTATGGTCTGTGCTGCAGCTAGAGTATCAACATTCTATCTTGATTTCTCACTTGTCCAAAAATCTGAAATAATGAAGCTGAATCTACTGAAAGTGGTAGGAATTCCCCCGATCTGGCAACACTAATCACATCGTTATGAACTGTACTGACTGGTGTGTGGTAATAGTTCAACGCATCTTCTCTGTATACAGAGATTAACAGAGTAGTTTTAAAATATCGAAAAGGACAGGTAGAAGGATACTTTTGAGGAAGGTCAGAACACACAAAAGGAGGACTGTCCTTCCTAAAGGAAGACAATTGGTCACCTTATTTAGTATTAATTTCGTAATTATTTTACTTACAAAGTGAGTGAAGTATACCAGGGGTTTAGAGTGGGAACAGGGCAAGACAAAGTAAGGCCAAGCAGTGGCAGATCTGAGAGAGCGGGGTATGGGGGTTACAACCCCCACCCCCCCACCCAAAGGACTAGAGTTTTCTTCCTTGTTACCTTCCTTTATTTGGAAAACTTTATTTAAATATTAATGTTAGAATTATGTAATTATTTAATAAATAATCTTATGTAGGATCATTATACACAACAAAAATAATATAAAATATAATAACAAATATGTTTATTTTTCAAGAGCAGATACATGGGGAGGGAAATTTCCCCTCCCCAATTTTTCAGTTACTATTAATTTTAACTTGTCACGAAACTTTGGAGCAAAAATATTTTCATATAAACATTAAAACTGTATTGCAACATGAGCCGAGTTTAGCCTGTGTCACTCTACATAATCTGTAATATGACACATTTGACCAAAACATTTTGAATAAAAAAATGTCCCCTCCCAAAATTAATCTCTGAATATTTAACAAAAATCGATGATCCCCCTCCAAAATGATCGACTGGATCTGCTTCTGAGACCAAGTGGAGCAAGAATGCACTAGAACAGAAGTGGGCAAGCAGTCCAGGAATAGATAGAATTTATGTCTCATAGATTGTGAAAAATGAATACTGGGGCAACTCAGGCCTCAATTTGATATTAACACATTTAAATATATCATGAACTGACCAAATTTGGCTCTAGAGACTCGATTTATTACAGTATTCTTGGTAGATTCTTAGTCTTTCAAGTGTTCCTGCTGTCGCCATCTCTTTAGTGGTCTCCCTCTATCTCTGATCCCTATTGATAGTACTTCCAGATCAATTTTGGAAATCTGTTGTTGTTCATTCTCTGTAAATGATCTTTTCATCTCATTTGAGACTGTTCTTTCTCTTCTACTAAACATACGGTTTCCAATTTCTTTCTGATGTCTTTATTTATTAGTATATCTCTTCTTATGATTCCCATGAGGTGTTTTAGAAATCTCATGGGTGGCGCCAGTAGTTTTTGTTTTCTGGTCCATGTCTCTTGATTGTTTGACATATTCTATTGTAATTATTAAGTTTGTTTTCTGTCTTCCTGAGTTTGGTTGTACACACTTATATTTCCAAGGTATAAAAATGTTTTTACTTATTCCATTAATTTTCCATTTATTACTACTTTGGCTCTCCTTTGTACCTTGCCATAACTTTTGTTTTCTGAATTGCTATCTTCATGGAATATTCTTGGGCCACTTTTGTCAATTCAAACACTGCTCTTTGTAAATTATCTTCAGAATCCATTACGATAGTTTGGTCATCAGCATACAAAATTGTATACATCTTCTTGTCTTTTGTGATCTGTATTCCTTGTCTAACTTTCTTTCTCCAGTTTCTCACTAAAGGGTTAATATATGTGTTAAAGAGGATGGGTGATAATCCATTTCCTTGCCTTACACCACTGTTGGTTGTTATTTCTGCTGACTTTTTCCCCCTCTCTTAACAGTTATGTTAACATTAAAATATATTTGAATTAAAATTGCAAATTTGATTATGACGTTTCATGTTTTTTGTTTAAACATGCAAAGAAATTGCAGTTATTGGTGTCAGTGTGAAGCATCTTTACACAAAATCTGGACAATGTCAATTACACCAGCAATGTAATAGATGATTATGATAATTAAATGCCTAAGCAATGCTGGGTTTCATAAGATAGTGAAAGGAATTAAAAAAAGTGTACATAAACATTACACATTCTTTATAGGGAATTAAAAACCTTAAATACAACAAATTCTTTTATTTTTCTCACATAAAAATACATATCAATTCTTAATACTTATTTGGCGTAAAAGGTAGAAAACAAAAGTATTAAAAACCAAAAATACATAATAGAATTATATTCAATACATAATATTCACTATCAAGTCAGGAGAGATCTTTGATATAGCTGCATTGGAAAAAAGAAAAGAAACACCCAATTTTATTAAGAGTAAAAGTAATTGATGGAATGTAAATTTCACTGCAGTTTGTCATAGACTATTGAAATGATATCTAAATACAATTTAAGAAAATGAAATCAATTTCCATAATAATATTTCAGTCTTACACAAATCCATGGCAACGTTTTAAAATAATGTTCTTGGCTTATAAGTACAAGTAAATTATAGCATCATGATTTTTTAAATTGTACTTCTAATATTTCGGAGAGGACAAAACAAATAAGATTGTCAAAATATTTATTTTCTACCTATTAATAGTATCTTGGTAGAACATGCAATTACACAACTGGATTTTAGTTTTAATGTAAAAAGACAAAACAGAAATTCACAACTACTAAAAAAGGTAATGAAAATTTCAATGACAAGTAAAACAAGAGCATGACATATAAATATATATACTTTAGATACATGTGAGAATAAAATATCCATAGTTATTTTTATGTGAATAGTACATGCTAAAATGCTTTTGTAAACGGTTTTCTCACATGAAAATGAATATAACACTAAAAATATAATTAATCAAGAATGATACATCATAATATATGTTTCTACACTGCTGTTGAAAATTATGTGAATAAGAATCATATCATGGCTTGGTGTGAGGAAAAGATTCATTGAACTTTCAAATATATCCTGAACTCAAAATAATTTCACACTATCTTTTGCCAGCCAGATTATATCATGAAATTCCACTGCAAGTTGCATATTTTGACTACATCAAAACCTTTTATTGCACTTCAACTAGTCTAAAAATTTTTAATAATCTGATAATAAATGTATCATATTGAACCAAGAAACTCACACTTTAAGAGAAGAAACAGTTATATAAATATTAAAAAATATACAGGCATTGAGAAATTTTAAGGAAAGAAAAATAAAATCATGTTATTGGAAATTTTTAAGTGTAAAAAATATGAAAATCCTTACGTAGAGTTTTAGTATTTGATGTAGTCCCTGACAAGCACAAACTATCTGTTTAGTGAAGTGGATTCTTTGTCTGAAATGAAATATGTAGCAATAAAAATTATAATCTCAGTTTAAAAACATAACATTCCTTCATCATTGAAGTCGATCGAAAGAACAATTTAATTACTAGTTTCACTCTAATTAATGGATGTAGGAAGAATGGAATTCGTAAAATATGAAAATTATTTGAGAAATACAGTCAACACTCTAAAAATTGCGGAAGGATTCAAAAGTGAAGGTAATAAATTCAAGGTTGAAAAGTGCATAGTAGTACAAGCAAAATTGTGTCAATGCAAAAATACAAATAATGTAATGTAATAAAAAAAGAAAAGATTTTGCAAACACATTCTTCTTGAAAAATTTAGTTAATTTGTTATGTAATGCACTGGCCCTTATTTAAAGTACTAAATTTTGTGAAGATGACAACCATTAACTGTTCACAATTCAGAAGTCCTTTGTATCACGGTACATTTACAAATGTATTTAGAAGCCAAGTATTGTGGTAAAATGTTAATAGTTAAGAGATCACTAGTGGAACAAGTCCAACACTGTTCATGAATATATTGGCTTTACAGTACACGTTTAAGTTTGTTGGATTATCAAAATGCTTCATTTGAAAACCACACAGCATGTGTAGAAGTCACCTTTAATTAGTGCCCATCACATCATTGTGGTCCCTGTAGCAGAAAGTAAAAGAGCTTTCAGGAAAATTAATGAGATCTACAGTTACAAAGGAAATAAGCTATTGATTGCAATATCAAGCACAAATACTTTCGTAAGTAGTGCAGTGTTGGACTTGCACTCTATGTTTAAATTAGACTGTGGGCTATGCTATCAGTGCAGACAGTCATATTGAAGTCTTGACTACTTAAAAGGGAAGGCGTTCAGTAGATTGCACGTTAGAAACACAAGAATGATTATTTTGATGCTTGGTTCGATTCTTTTGGCAATTGCTGAAGAAAGTGAGTTCTAACAAATATTTTTCCCAATTAAGTAGCTACTGACAACTGTGCGTATTTTTGAACTATATAAATTTTTATATCTAACCAAAAAATACTATAATAATTATGTTTGCATCAGTTTAATTTCATCATCCAGCAATAATACTCATGGAAATTAAAAAAAATAAACAAATTATTTGAGGAAACAAACTAAATATGACAGCAAGTTTTTGCAATTCTAAACTAACTACCATCACTTTTGTGTTCTATTCTTTGAGTAAAATCAAACTTTAATACAGCTTTTAGAAGGAAAAAAACAAAACTAATACTAGGCAAGGTTTCAGTGTTCTAACAGGTTGAAGAATAGATAACCTTACAATTCCAGTCCATTGAAAAAGGAAACAAAATTCTCAAACTGAAAAATAAGTACAGAGGTTGTGCATTTGTTAATCAAGTAAATCTGCAAGATCAAATTAAGTAGGTGATGATTAAGTAGATGTGCATATTTCAGTTCAGTAAAAATGATTGTCTATGTAGTATAGGAAGTACTTCATATCATGAATTGCAGAAACCCTCTTTGCTGTAATCTTTACAAGTTTAAAAATGAAAAGTTAAAGATGCAGAGATTTATTGCATCAGTCATGGAAGATATTGGATAAACGCTTCTGAAACCACAGAGTGCTTAGTCAGACTCTCTGTGCTTCTGATAGCATAGCCCACAGTCTCCGTGATTCCTCATTAGCATCTACTACAGCATCTCTCAAAAACTTTCCATAGCGTGAATAGTCACAAGCACCCCCATTGATTTGTGACTGGAACAAGTAAAATTCAAGTTCTGAGAAGCATGAAGTTCTGAAACCAAAACGAATGAACCACAATATAGAGTTCAGATCTTGAGGAAGTCTAAATTGAGGGAGATCTTGTGCTTCTTTGGGAATATCTTTATCATTGCAATATGGTAAAATGACTGAAAGCAATTTGAGGGTACAGGCAGCATCCTTGCTTTTCTCTTCTAGTATACTCAGAGCAGCTGGATTCACATTGTAATATGCTTTGTCTTTGTCATTTTCCATATGATGTGGGGAGGAGATGACCATAACTGCATCAACCCTTGAAAAAGCTTCTCTGTACCATGAAGAAGAATCCTGAAAATTGAAACATTTACATTAATTTCTCTCCAAAGTTACAATTCCAACTGTTAGTTTAACAGAATATTACATGGAAGGTACTGTTGTTTATAACAGGTCTTCCCTGCCCTTATGCATGCACCCCCCTCCCTCCCCCCTCCCCCACACACACAGCGGCTGACCCCTGGGGACGCCCGTATAAGCTGGTAACGGCCAGACTCAGGAGGGTATGTTCAGGCGACCACCCATGCCGGCGTTTTCATGAAAAGTTGTTAGCTACCTTGTTTCCTCGCCAGGTAGATACGTTACAAACCGAAGGATCGTCTGGAAGATCTATAGCGAGGTTCCGGCAGTCACGTTGGATTGAACTTTCCGAGAGCTTGCGGCAAGGTCCAAGATTGCAAAGCCCCCGGATTAGATGGGTTCCCAAATGTAGCAATTAACACTCGCCGATTGGGGCCAATTAAGACCGCTATTAACGACTCGGCCGATCTATTCTTGCAGGCTATAATGCATGCATACGAGAGGGGAATTTCCCCCGTCGATGGAAGCAGCAACAGTTAGTCCTTCTTCCGAAGGGCGATAAGGCACTACTGATCCGGCAGCCTAATCGGCCAATATGCTTACTGGACACAGCAGGCAAAGTGTTTGAGCGGAATTATCTGCAATCGTACTGAGTCATTTACAGAGGGGCCTCAAGGATTGTCTGATATCAGTACGGCTTTAGAAAAGCGAGTCCACGGTAGATGCTATTAAGGTAGTCACGACATACGCACGCAAGGCCATTGAAGGCAAACGATGGAAAGGCGGTCTCTATGAAAGTATTGTGCTATTAGTGACCCTAGACGTGAAAAACGCCTTTAACACTGAGGTGGAGCTCCTTTTCTGCGCTACAAACTCTCGGAGTTCCAAGGTACATCTCGAACTTGGTAAAAAGTTACTTTATGGAGAGAGTCCTCCTATATGAAACTGGGCTGGAGTACAATCTTATACGGTGCACAAGGCGGTTGTCCCACAAGGCTCGGTACTTGGTCCGATGTGTGTGGAACACTATGTATGAGCCGTGTTGAAGCTCGAGTTGCCGGAAGGCGCAGAACGATGGATTTTGCTGACGATGTTGCAATTGTCGTTGTCGGCAAATACATCGAACAAGTCACGCAGGGTTGCCAACGAGGCTGTGGCGGAGATCCGGCGGTGGCTTAACGTTCAGTAGGGCTACAGATGGCCGCCCATTAAAACAGAGGCTGTGCTGGTACGGGCAGAAAAGTGAGAGAGAGTATTACTCTTAATGTAGGAGGCTGCCAAAATATCTCGCAGCTGTCATGATGGGAGTCATTTGACGGAACTTTTGGCGCTTTTGGACGAGCACCCTTGCACCCGCAATGTCTCCGAGAAAGCGTCTCGTATGGCATCCCGCATTGGCACGCATTATGCCTAATGTAGGGGGAGACCTGAGGCAAAGAATCCGAAGGCTGCTGATAGCGTAGTAAATTTCATTCTTTCTCTACGCAGCCCTATTTGGGCTGATGCCATGGCATTCAGTCATACGCCCGTGGGGCTAAGTCGGTTGCATAGAAGGTCGCCTTGCGGGTTGCTCGAGCGTTTCGCACCGTATCTTATGATGCTGTGTGCGTGTTAGCAGAATTATGCCTCCGATCGACCTCATTGCGCAGGAAGAGAGCTAGACTCTATTTGCGCAGGGGGAGGGCCTCAAACTGGAATACCATTACGAAAGAAGAGAGAGGGGTGACAATGGACCAATGGCAACGACGATGGGAGCAATCATCAACTGGGCGATGGACATTTCGGGTCATTCCCGACATCATGACGTGGATCAAAGGGAACATGGAATGAGATTAGATTTATTCTAACTCTAGATGCTGACGGGCATGGATGTTATCGGAGAGTATCAGCTCAGATTCCGGTTGGACGATAGCTCTTCATGCCCAAGGGTGTTCCCGGTGATTGAAGGATGTAGAACACGTGTTCTTTCATGTGTCCACGCTTCGCAGTGGAAAGGGAAGAACTTCACAGACTCCTCCAAGAGGGAAGGACCCTGAGACCATACGTCCTAGGATGCTGCCTTTTGAAAACCAACAAGAGTATTGGAGTGCGGGTAGCCACCTATGCCGCAAAGGTCCTGAAGACGCTCCGCGTCCGAGAGCAGTTACGAAGAAGACCCCGTAATATTTCGGTGAGGACTGTGCGAAAGCCCTATCCTTCCTTCCTCGCGATGCAATGCTGACGGCGGGGTTCCGCGGGAAGGAATAGGAGGAAAGGGAGGGGTTTTTGTGGGGTAGGGCATATTGCTAGCTATGAATCCACACGAGGCTGGCGGGTTGCGGGCCCGCTTTTGGTGTTCTAAGAAGATTTTCCCCTGCCCACGTAAAACATATCTCCCCGTTCCTCTCTCCCTCTCTCCTCTCTCCCTCTCTCCGCTCTCTCCCTCCCTCCTGCCTCTCTCCCTCTCTCTCCATCTCTCTCTTCTCCTCCTCACCTTCCTCGTCTCTCTCTCTTTCTCTCTCTCTTTCTCTTTCTTGCCATCTATAAAGAAATGTAACTAAGAAAAAAAATTATGCTGACTTCCGTTATGTTTGGCAAAGCTGTAAAGAACCTATTTTACACAATATCCAGTATTTTATTTAGTATCCAATGAAGATTCACATGGATGCAGCAAAATGGACCCAACAAATGGTAACAGTCAAATCAAGTGTATTTTATAGGGGTGAAGATTGAGAGAAGACTCTGCATTAATTATAGCCTAATTTTATTAATTCTTCACAACTCCATTAAAAACTTAAATTAGTGTTCTTTAATTTTTGCTGATTAATTACAACAGCTACAACACAATAACAATAATAATAATATTAATAATAATAATAATAATATTTATTTCTGGCGAAGCTCAGGCCAAAAGCCCTGCTCTTCCTAACCACTTAATTATTTACATAATTACAATTGAGGCTTTTTGGTACTGGCTTACAATGGTAACTGACATTTCATGTTACTTATGGAAGTGCAATGATCGTATTAGCTAACAGAGATGTGCTTCACATAAGTAATGAAACAAAGCATGAATATTTTCATTGTCAATTTTCTGGACTCTAAAACTAACATGATGTAAAGAGAGTCCATGTTACTTATTTACAAGGAGGGCATGGTAAGTCAATAATTTTACTCTCACAAAATGTCAGAAATTATCTCTTACACCAGAATGTCTCAATTATGAACAAATTACAAGAAAAAGGGAGGGGTAGATTTTATATTTACATTATTTATCCCTAGTATTTGCCAATATAATAATTGTGTTGAATTGAAGTGTCATGAAGTGATCTGACAACTGCTTTGAGCGAGAGTATTTCCTATCAGTGTAAAGAAGCTGAAATTATGGAAAAATTATCACACATGAAACACTGATATGAAAATAGTTTCAAGACTGAACTGTGGAAATTTACTGAACAAACTGCATAGCCACTCCTGGGTGATGCAACAACTGAATGAAAGGAGAGAAATAGCTTGCAAGAGAAAAAGCTCTTTCCATCATCTACCTAGGATTGGAACCAAAGCAGAGTTTGCTGATAGATGCAGTTGATATTGCTGAAGAGGCATGGAGTAAACTAAGGATGATTTTTGAATCAACAACAACGGTCAGAATAGCATCATTAAGGATGAAACTTTTCCAATTACAAATGGAACCAGATGAAGCACTGTCAAGGATTCTATCCAGGGTTAATAACAATGGCTTTAACTGGAGTTGATAAGGATGATGATGATTATGATAGTGGTGGTGATATCACATTCCAGATGCTATAAGCGAGTTAAAAAGGAATATGACAATGCAGAGCAGCATCTGCACAGCCTGAAAAAGGCAAACATCACCTCCAAGGCAATTGTGGAAGCTCTTGGGGCTGAGGCCACGTTATTAGAACATCATTACAAACCACCAGAGGAAAGTACTTCTTCTGTGTTAATAGTGTCTTTGGGAGGGCAAGTGGTGGTTGGTGATTTGACTCTGCTGAATAAATGCCTGATTAATAGGAAATTTGATATGTTTGTGGCATTAGAGAACATATTGCATCAAAATATTCACAAAAGATTGGAGATTTGGCCAGAGGGTACTGCCCTAGCCGGGACAGCCTCTAAGCTCGTGATTGGTCTCCTGACATGTGGTAGTGTAGTATACGGAAGTGTAAGAGTACGTAATGGGGACAAGGAAGAAGGAAAGATCGCACACAGTTTGAAGCCTGTTTGTAAAGAATACTGTTCTGGAATATGCCTGGTATTGATCAGAGAAACCATTTTGTCTTCCAGTCTCCTGAAGACAAAAAGCAAACATGCTCCTTCTTCCATGGTGGCAGGGTATTTGATTTTTTTAAAATTTGATTTACTAGTCCAAAAACTGTAAGTGATGTGTGGGAAAAATACCATCCACTCATGTTTTTTTGAGCTTCAGAATCTCTTCCCAACATTTTAACAACCCAAAATTTAGTAAATCCAAATTTACAGTGTTGTGCAGTTCCATATACCAATGACGACTTGCATGGTGAAGCTCATTTATTGCTTTCCAGAGTCTCCACACATAATCACCATCTTTGTACCTTTCATAACCCTTGAGCTGGTTTATACAGCTGAATAATGAATAAAAGTTTCAAAAAAAGTCAGCAACTTTCAAAAACTAGACATTTTTCCTCCTGAGTTATAGAAAAGTCATTTGCTATAAACCTTCCATCGACAAACACTGCAAGGTTTTTATATTAAAAAAAAAATAAATTACAAAGAAAAAAAATAAAAAAAAAATAAAAAAATTGTTAGAAACAAAATAGTAACATACCTCTACTGCTACCACTACTAGCAAAAGGTGAGCTCAACAAAATATGCATAATGTGTATATAGATACATATGCGTACAATAGTACAAATGTACAATAGTGACATATATGTTCAGAAGCAAAACAAGGGGTCAACTCTGCATTTGCTCAATGGATCAGGAAACTGGACAAAAATCAGATGATGATGGGGGGGAGCATATTGTCCCGGAAGCTAAAGTACATTATTTGTTTCAGGCATATTAAATCATTTTTAAAATTATACAATACAAATGTAAACAAATGCATTATTATCATGTTATAATAAATATTTTTCTTTTTAAATGTCAGAATAGTCTAATTTTATATAAAAAGTTATGTAGGAGAAAATATTTTACAGTTAACTTTAAATTTGTAAAGTGATTTTAATTGTTTTATATCACCTGGCAATGAGTTGTAAAGTAACGTGCATGTTGATTTCTTATAATAAGTTGTTGATACCGACTCCTGATGAATGTGATTTCAATGAAGCGAGTTGTAATTATAAATATCAGAATTTTAAGAAAATATGTTCCTGCCCCTAAGCCAGTCAGTTTTGACAAAAACAACACATTCGTAAATAAATAGCCAAGGCATGGTAAGATTCCATGAAGAAAGGCTTGCAGGAATTACATGTATGGTATTTCTTTATCATTCATATCATTTCTTATGCAATCTAAAAGTCTGGGTACTAAAGGATGAGATTCTCCAGAATATCACACCAAACTGAGAATGTACATTTTCAAATTACACGCACTGAGATGCATGACGGCTGACAGAATCTGAAATAATTCTGAATGTGTAACACAATGAATTTAATTCAGTTTTATGGTATGTAATGCAATCAGAAATAGTGAAAGAGGTTGCATGGTTAGAAAATTTTCTACAAGGATGCCAAGCATTTGGATCTTTTTTAATAATTTATTGTGATAATGAAAGGATAATTTCATTTGCTTATGAAAATGTAAGATCCAAGCACATTAATATTTGCTTTCACTCTGTGAAAGTCCTTATAGAACAAAAGCTATTTTAACAAAGCTTCTTACCGATAACCACTTTCACAACTTATGTAAAGATGTTTTTGTGGATCTCCTGTTTAATTATAGTTCTCGTTCTTATTGTTGTAGTATTATGATTTAAAACATATTAAGATCAAGTGGAAAATTTTGATTACAAATTTTGTTTGGGTAAAGTCCTGTCATCTACAATGAGATGTGAAAACTGAAAGACAATTGTTATGTTTGTTTGGAATGTTGTGATTAAATGACACTATGCACTATGTACTATGTACAGACTTTTATTCACTATGTACTAAAGATTCCCTTGGGTGTAGCAAAATGAAACCAACAATATGCACATACACACATGCATATGCATGGCCACACCTGAAAACACACATGCACACCTCACATGCATACCAACAGACACATGCCCGATCACACAAGCCAATTAACTTCCTGCAGTGGAGGATTTTATCTACAATGTATATGTATGAACTTTGTTACCTGTGTGTCTGCAGATAAGATGTCAAAGTCCTCAATGAGAGCTCGAATGTGACAATATCTTCTCAGGTACATTACAAGAGCCACAATGACTCGAAAGTGGGTGTCCATGGTACGTTTATATATTAACAATACTACTGGTGCTTTATCTGGAAAAGAACAAAAAGAACATCTAAATTAAGTTACCTTTGCATCTAAACAACTTCTTTTATATAAGGTTACTAATTTTTTTGTTATTTTTCTAAATATATCCGTGACTAGGGCAAATTATTGTAATTAACAATTAAATTACGCTCATAGAGCAATAAGTTGATTTGGGGTGAGAGTAAGCTTTCCCCCAGAAACAATACATAAAGTTATAACAGTTGTTGGTGTTATATAAATTACATAAATAGTAGTTATGCTTCAAAATGGCTATCCAGCATTTTTTGCTACTTATGTAAGAAGTTTTCATGATATTTGGCATACATTCATTAATTTTAAGTAACGAAGGGCTTTAGATGCCAGTTCCTACTATTTTGTCTTATCACCCATTAGTTTGAGATTCTCTCTTCACCGAATAGTTTGGCAAAGATTCAGTCTGAATCGCTCGGCAAATTTGTGGTGGATGCCTACAATAATGTTTGTGAATATAATTAAATAATATGCAAGTGATATTTTTATTGCCTGCTTAGCTTATTGTTTTGTCAGCATTCAAGTTTCTTCTTGCCTTGGAAAGGCAGTGTAAAACTATAAATCCTAACTGATTAGGCTTGATCTGAGAATATAAGACTGCTCCCATTCATATTTTTTGAACGAGATATTTAAGAAATAGCCTCGTCTTGTAATCGGGTAAATGCTTTTAATAATAATAATAATAATAATAATAATAATAATAATAATATAATCAGTAATCAAACACATCTCCAACCTACTAGACCTGGTCCCTTATACATAGTCAAATTAATGTGACTGCTTATGTTAGACGTAAATGTGCAATAATCCCTCACAGATGAAGTTTGCAGAACTCTCATACGATGACCTGGTCGGGCGGAAGTGAAATACAGAGCAGTACTTGTCGCATTACAGAAAACCAGAGATCGGATGTCCAAAAGAGCAAGATCTTTGACTTTTGGGCTAAGGGCAGAAGAATTTCCAAATTGGCTAAGATTGTAAAGCGTTTGCTTGCCGCAGTAATTAAAAAATACTGTGCATGGTAAAATAGTGTATCCAAAATCGGCACTGAGGCAACAGTGGGGCACCAAGGGCCGTAGATGGCAGGAGAGAACAACAGTTGCGGAGATGTGTACAGGCAGACATAAAACTATAGAGCAACTGACCCCCCAAATGAACAAAGGGACTACCAACAGGGTCTCCTCAACAAACTTTCAGCAAACATTGCTGCGTCTGGGCCTCCACAGCACCCAATACTCACGGTTGTTCTGCAAAGAGGGCTAGAATTTGCACGCCAATGCATAAATGGATGTCCACTGAGTGGCCTTTTCTGATGTATCACGTTTTCTGCTCCATTGGAAAGTCATCGGCGTATCTCTGGCAACAATCGCTGGACAGATCCGGTTGGAAAAGGACGGAGCATGATGGTGTGGGGAGTGTTTTCCTGACATTCTTTGTGTGATCTCACTATTCTAGAAGGTAGAGTGGATCAAAAAACGCATGCAACCATTCTCAGTCCCCATGTCCATCTCTACTAAGTGCTCAGCAAGTTACTACTAAGTTACTCAGCAAGAAGGCATCTACCAGCAAGACAATTCACGCACTGTACATGCGTGTTTCGAGAAGCAGTATGTGCCCATAGCCAACTCCCTCGATTTAAACCGAATTGAGAATATGGGAGCCATCTCAATCGCGCTGTTTGCACCATGGATCTACAACTAAAGAACCTAGTTCAACTAGCCACGGCATTGAGGTTGGCATGGCTCGACGTCTGTCAGTGCCATCCAGAACCTAATTGACTCTTTCTGCGCATCTTGCAGTGATCAGCACTGCAAAAGGAAGTTATTCAGGATTTGGTTTCTAAACTGTGTATATCTTACTACAAATACTATTGTATTTATTAAAAGAAGTTATATATATGAGATATGACCTAATAATTCTCAAACTTTTTAACATTGTTACCACCTACCATATTTTATGACACTATTTCCTATTTACTGGTATAATTTTCCCTACTAGTAGTTATTTAAGTTTGTAAATAATCATCATGAATTTCACAAAATATTTCTAAAATTGAGACTCCGCACACGAGGCAACAAGTTAGGCAGAGAATCAGAGAGAAACTAGATTATTACATACTAATATTTTCAAAAGCACAATATAAGTGTAAAGAACCACTATTCAATTTCAGTAAGAAAATGTAATTTTTACAGAATTCAAATTCTCTCTCTAAAGTACAAACTGGAGAAAGTAAAATAAATTTATACTCACGTGATGGAAGAGCTCCGAATCTCCTCCAAGAATGGAAAACATATAAAAATCCTGGTAACAAAATTAATATGCCAATTGCTGCTATTATCAATGGGGATTTAAATTCATTGTCTGAAAATAAAAATTCATGAATGAAACTTAATATGATGAATGCAACAATATTTTTTAAATAAAATTGTATTATCTTGAAATTCTTTCTCTATTTCCTTTAACCATTTTATTGATAATGCCACTTTCTTAATGCAGGCAAACAACTTTCATAATTTCTTCCCAAGAGTAAGTAATTTGTTAGCCCACTGTAATTACTGGATAAAAATTGTACATAATAACAAGGTAAGAAGAAATTTCATGAACTTCATGGCATTATCACAAATAGATGAAGGTAAAAGACAAGCATTAAGAAAGTATTACAAAAAAATAATAATTACCTATTATAAAGACTGGCGACCTTGACACATAGCAGGAGTGACCAGAACAATTTTTATGGAATATTTCAACAGAGATATAAAACTTCCCAGTTAAAGAATCAGTCTCAAATGTGTAAAGCTCTTGTTTTCTTCTCTTACTCACATGTACAAGGTGGGACTCCAGTACTTGGACTGAAGTCTCACTCTTTTCGCTAACAAATTGTAGAAGATAATACTGAACGTGAAAATGTGATGGTGGAACAGGCCATCGTACAGTCACATGCGATGAATCTGATATATCCACATATAAAAAGAACTCCCAATCTCTCAGAGAAGTGTTTTCAGGTTCTGAAACAGAAACCAAGAACAATTACAAATGGCATTCTGTATAGTTTAATTATCAACCATCAACTACCAGCAATGCAGTTTTCTATCACAGAAGTCACCAAACGTTTACAAATTAAAGACATTAAACTATTAGAAGTTTATATCATAACAGAATAACATCGGTGTAATATTTCACATATTTGTTGTAGTTGTAAGTTTGTCCAAGAGACACTAGTATGTCGACAATGACGGATTTCATTCCACACTTTAAATTATTCATTTCAAGCAGTAAAGAAGAGCATTCTCGGTATTATATAATATTCGTCCCACTTGTGAAGAATTTCAAGTAGGGAGGAGATCTTCAAATTTTAGCTCTAATTGAACAAGGCAAAAATAAATGAATAAATGTGTGTGGTGTGTGTATGTGTGGTACGTGGTGTGTATGTGTGTGTGTGGTGTGTGTGTGTGTGTGGTGTGTGTGTGTGTGTGGTGTGTGTGTGTAATGTGTGTGCGTGTGTAATGTGTGGTGTGCATGTGTGCGTGTGTAATGTGTGGTGTGCATGTGTGCGTGTGTAATGTGTGGTGTGCATGTGTAATGTGTGGTGTGCATGTGTGCGTGTGTAATGTGTGGTGTGCATGTGTGTGTGTGGAATGTGTGGTGTGCATGTGTGCGTGTGGAATGTGTGGTGTGCACGTGTGCGTGTGGAATGTGTGGTGTGCACGTGTGCGTGCGGTGTGCACGTGCGGTGTGCACGTGTGCGTGCGGTGTGCACGTGTGCGTGCGGTGTGCACGTGTGCGTGCGGTGTGCACGTGTGCGTTTGGAGTGTATGTGTGCGCGGAGTGTAGTGGGCGCGCATGTAGAGTGTGCGCGTGTAGATTGTGCGCGTGTAGATTGTGCGCGTGTAGATTGTGCGCGTGTAGATTGTGCACGTTTGTGTAGTATATGCATATGCATGTGCATGTTTGTGTAGTATATGCATATGCATGTGCATATGTGTGTGTGTGTGTCATTAAACACGAAATCACAGAAATGTGTCTCAAGCCTTGTAAAATGTTGGTAATACTCAAATACCAAAGCAACTAGCCTTTCCTTTCAATCCTTTTTTCCTCTTTCTTTTATTTATCAATTTCCAGTTTATGTATGAATTTCAATTATCAAAATATTTAAGTGCAGGCACATTCCAGTCATTGTTTGGGGACTTCTGTTCCAGAAATAATGAAACTTGAATAATTCATCATGGAATAACAATTTAATAAACATTTGAAGAAAGAACTTAAATAATATGCTTCAACACATATACTATTGTTTTTTGTTCATTTTGCTGTACTTGAAGATTTTTGTTTACAGATAGATTGGAATGCTTAAAGGTAGATTCTGATGAGCACAGATTTTTACCAAAATGACAATATTTTTCTGCCATCGCTTTCTGAAACTTTAAACAACTATTTTGAATTATGGATCATACAAAATGATAGAAACATCATTTATATCTTAATATTGATCATTTATATTTTAAACAAAAACAGCCAGTTATCTTGCATGAATGTCCTGCAAATATGAAATTTTACAAATTACTTTGAAACAGAAAACAATCAAATTTAAAGGATTTGAGAGAAAGTAAGAATTTAAGCTTGAACAATTTTATAGCTCACAGAAAACATTGTTTCAGGAATTTTGGGATATTACATTACAGTTCTTAATTAATTCATCATTACTTTTTGCTAACACATGATATTAACAACACATATTCAAAATTAGATATTGTTTGTTCCAATTCCAAATTAACGTAATCTAATATAATACACAACATCTCTTTGGAACATCCCTATTTAGTTTCTCAACTTTCTGAAATCTTTAGCCATTTCCAACTACTAAAAAAACGGATAACAGCAAAAAATAAAATTGAAATATGGAGAACATACTACATAAGAAACTCTGCCAAGTGCTTTTAATAATTTTCTTTTAAATACAAATAATCCATTATTAATTGATAAGGAAATATTCAACAATTTTTATTAAAAAAAATTCCTGCTTAGCTTCATTAACAGATTTAAAAATCATTAATAAACAAATGACTTTCTTCTTTTCAGAGCCTATTGAAGTTTTCAATATATTTAATGTTATTGAATCTTATTTTTACTTAAAATTAAAGAAAGATTGCAAATAATGCTGAATAAAAAATATTTGACTGGCAGAGCCATGTTCACATGAAAAAATAATTCCACTGACAAACTAACTTAGGAGTTAGCAAATCTTGGACAGGATATATCACTTCACCAAGTCAAGTCAAAAATTACACCATACATCACTTCACTGAAAGCACTGCTCTGAAATCACACACAAACATTTGACTTGATAATGCAAGAGGTTTATTCACTACTGTTTAATGAGAGTTAAAAATGCTTTAAAGAAGGTTTATCAGCAAATGGTCTCTTAGGAAAAAGAGGAGAAATTAAACCATATCAGCAAGTTGCAGGTCTTCATGTTCTGTCAGATTTTATGTCTACAAGTGGCATTCAAAATAATTAGGATATTTTTTATTAAACAGAGGCACATAAGCACAAAAACTAAAAGAAAGCAGTTCTGAAATAAAAATCTTCACTAACAGAAATAACATAAAAATTTTGGTGGCATAGTGATTTTTGAGAGTTTTCTAACTTTTTGTGTTGGAAGCTACAATCTACAAGGGTGAGTATATACATCAACAATTGCGAAGCATTAATCAATAGTTACCAACTTCAAAGAATATTATAAAAAATGTATACATCATATGGAGTCGTCCATAAATTACGTAACATAAAATAGGAGAGAGGAGTTTGAGACAGCATTATATTCGTTTGTTACAAAAGATTGCTTTTTTTCCCCAACATTTACTGACCTAATTCCTTCTTCAGTCTAATAATAAAAATTAAAATATTAACTAATTAATTTTTTTAAACATAAATAAATTGAAGTTGGAAAGTGTAAATTGTTAATTAAACAATAAATGGAAATATTTTTTCATCAATTGTCTATTGAACCTGTACGATTACAAAGAAAATATTCCGTATTGAAAGTAGTATATCCTAGAGTCCACTTAAAATGGCAAAGTACACACTTGTGCATGTGTCATCCAAAATGATAGACTTGTACGTCTTGTGATCAACAATTTTCTCACCTATGCATCCATCCTTTACTCACAACTTGCCCCCAATCTTATTGTTAGGAATAGGTATAGTACTAATACCTGCTTTAATTAGAACAAATTTTAATATACAATGCAAATAAAATGTAACAATACAAATTGCTGGAGGGCAAGTGTGCATTGCAGGGAGAAGAGGGAGAAAGCAAAATAATCCCAATTTGCGTTACACAATTTATGGAAGGACCCTATGCCTGCCTTTTGGTGTTTTGAGAACAGTTTTCTATTACCTATATCACATTTCACAAAACCACAGTTATATTGATGAAGTATGCATGCTAAAACAGCTCATTTTATCAGTTCAAAAAGTTCTGATTTCAAAAGAACAATAAAAGCAGGCAAGCTGCTCTTAGTGGTTGAGTAAAAGTGCACTAATATTTTTTAATTTAAGGATTAAATATTGAATGCCAAAATAGCATATCACTGCACTTCTTTAAAAATCCCCAAAATTCCCATTTTCCTGTTTTTACATTATCTAACAAATGTAATTGCTAATATCTGACAAATCTCAATTTACAGCCCTCCCACATCTTACCATTGCAAAACAATTTAGGACACACTTATGGTTGGGTGGGAAAAAAGATTAGAAAATGTAAGCTTAATTTTTCTTAAAAAATTCAGAATTATTATTCTGTTCTATGATGATAATAATAATAATAATAATAATAATAATAATAATAATAATAATAATGTCCCTCCCCTTCTTCCTGTAATATTTGCTTTTTTTGATTTATGCACTTTTAGAAGAAAAGAAACAATATGTACTTAAATGTTATGAGGAGTAGAAAGCACAAAACACTAAAGGTTGAAAGTAATTGTAAAGGCAATCTTTAACTTGAGCAAAGGAGTGCATTAAACACACTACTCACTCATTATAAAAAATGTTGAAGAGAGAAAATGTTAAATAAACAGATTCAAAAAAATAAATTCAGGCACATTTTCAAAAATCAAATAAAAAGATGGGTAAAACACATTCCTTTTCCCGCCTTGAATAATGTGGGGAGTATCATACCCCCTACAAATTTAAACTCTTACAACAACAAAAGCCTGCAGAAAATGCTATTAGATAAAGCTAGTGTTGAATCTTCCTTTAGTTGGAATTAAGATCTGGTACTTTTCCTTAAAATCATAAAATATATGGTCAAATGTACCTTGGCCCACCCTAAACATATTCTTCTAAATTCCTACTAATCTGCAACTTTGCATGCAAAACAACTTATCTGCAACTTTGAGTACAAAAGAGAAAAACATCTCTGAAAATAGAGAATAACTGAAAACAATCATGTTCTTTGTTTTAGGCAAATTTTAATACATTAAGATAAAATAAATAAATAAATGAAAAAATGAAGAAGAGAGGAAAGAAAATTAGGTGACTTCTGATGACCCTGTGACTGATCACTGACCCCATGCCCCAAAAAGGCACCCACAGATCCTCCTAATGGCAACGAACTAGCGTATGTTAATACCTGGATAATGATCTTGAAATACTCCTAATGTTTATCAAAGGTACAGAAAGTAGCAGGAAAACTTTTCCCAACAAAGTAAAACGAAAAGAACAGCAATCGGATATTATTTCCGAGATATGAAAATGTTAAAAGACAAAGCTGGCCACATGTTAACAGAAGAGAAGAAAATAAGTCTGAAGAAAACTGAAATAAAACTGGAGAAAAAAAAGCAGCAGAAGAAAACGAAAATAAAAACATTAAAAATGTGAACATTTTTATGAAGTTAAGGTAAAGCAATTCTACAACATGCCTTGAACATAGTTCCAGGAATAAGGCGATTTAGCTTTACAACCGAAGTTTAAAGACTAGAAGGCAATAAGTTAGTATTGTGCCCTGGAACTATTCTTTTTAATCAAGCCTCTAAATATCAGGTAAAGTAGCACAGCTGTTCTTGAAAACGAGATGATGGATCTTTCATCATCTCTTGATTTTTAGTTAATTCTAAATATGAAAAATTAAATTGAAATATAATGAAGTTAATAATGAAATAATACATCTCAATTATTTAGAAACGGATTGATTTCTTGGTAAAAACCCATTGTATTTTAGATTTGCAGAGCTAACTTGGTAAATATGACAATTTTAAATATTTTAAACTTTCACAATTGATGAGATACTTCTATAAAACAGCTATTTACGGCAAATGCAATACATGATATTTTTTAATTTATGGAATATTAAATAAAAGTTGTTTTCTTAAAAAGAAAACATCTTTATTTATTTACTAAACATAAATAAGTGGTGCTAGTTTTAACATAAAAATAGCAGTGCATATTATACTTTTTTCAACTATTTTAAAGGTTTTGGAATATTAGCTTCTCTTGAGGATTGTTTCTGTCACAACACTCATTACTTCACTGGTAGATTGCTTCTTTAACTCATCCCATGTTGGATCTGAACTTCTACCTGCAGCCCAACACTTAACCTGTAATACTCTCTTAGTTCAGCATCTGAGTGACCCCCCCCCCTCCCTCGCCCCACTACACATTCATAGTGTTGAAAAATTATGAATGAGCTTCAATACTGATGTAGGCCAAGTGAAAAGAAAGTTAAACTTTTGTGAATTTCAAAGTTTTAGAGGGCTTAATGGAAAAGTGGACTATATCACATTTATAAGCACTCTTTGCCCTATCTGAATAAAACTTTAGAGCTATTTCCGAGACAATTGTGAAAATGCCCTACAGTTTTCATGTCAAGTTGTAATGTTTTTCTATAATTTAAAGATCCATTTCAAATTCGAAGGGCCATGAGTTTGACCAGTTCCATCAAAGAATATTCATTTTGGAGAAAATCTTATGTTTAGTTTATGTAATGAGGGTTGCTTTCAGGCAGATGGAAAAAAGTTTTTTGGGAGGGGGAAAAAAGTAGAATTGTTTAAAAAACAGTAACCGTGTGGTGGGAGTGGGGAGTAAAATTACATGAACTTATTACATTTTTAATCATGCATATTAAATTTTGTTTGAAAATAATGTTTGGAACCAATCACTTAATATCTGTGTCACTGTCCTATTTTTACTTGTCGAGAAGGAAATGCCAATACAGTTAATCGACTCATAATAGCAATTCACAAATGGCCTTTATTTATCAACTGATGTAACATCAGAATATTTTGAAAATGCTCTTGTGTAAAATATGTTCTTTCTTGGTTAGTGTTTAAAATAATTAAATTAATCAGCTAATGAATGAACAAGAAAGAATATGCTTTTATAACTGGACATCATGTTTTGCAATAGTTGTTATTCAAATGCACAACTGGCAGACAATCAATGCTTGTATTTTCTAATTTAAATCTTTTTAGCATTGTTTTTTGTTTTCTTTTCTAAAAGACAAATTTAATAACTCATGAATAGGAATGAACTTCATTATAAAAACATTAGTTGTGACTTTAGAAAAAATTTAGTATTAAAAGTTTAAATGGTTTTGCAAGTTCTAACAAAGGAATGGGCATACAAAAATGAAACAGAAATTAGTAAAAGAATCGGCCTGTTGTAGCTGATGTTCATTTGTTGATCTTGCATGCAATACAATATCGATATAAAGACACTTACACTGCATTCCAATTGTTTTCACCAGAATATTTCTGCAGTTTTAAAGAAAAACATGAAATTATGTAACACATATTCAGAAATATACCTATTCTATTAGGATTTGGCACTCTGAATATATAATGTCCTTCATCAACTGCAGTTGTATCAGAATTATAAGCTTTGTATTTTAATTCCATAGCTGTACCCACTACAGCTTCAGGCCATAAACAATTATGTGAAATCCCACCAATAGAGTGATAAGATATATTGAACACATGGCAACTGGCTTCAGTTTTAAGTCTCTTTTTGTACTGCAACTGTAAATCTGAAAAGGAAGCAGATAATTTGAATGAATATAATGCTTCATAAAGAATAGGTATTTGACAAACTTACTAAAAAGTTTGTGTTTAAGTTTATTCAGAAGAAAAAATACAACAGATAAGAAGCTATATTGCAAAGAGATACAATATGTGTGAGGTTTTTACTGGTGAAGAAGGTTATGAGCATACAAGGCAAATGGGATCAAGCTTTGGCTAAGTACAAACAATAATATGTTATGGCTTACACAATCTATAAGAAACCATTGAAACAGAACACTTCAAGTGTGCTAGTGCTGAACAGGTAGTAGGTAATAATAACAAATAAGCGCATTTGCAGGTTATGACCACAAGGGGATTTTAATGTCCTAAAACATAACCAAAAAATGATCAATAAATTGTTCTTTAAATGATTTTAAAATGCCCTAAAAGCAAAGAAAGATAACATAAAAAATTTGATCAAAACCAGTTCAGATTAACAACTTAAGCTATTGGACTATGTTGACTGATGTAATCGAGACTTCTCCCTTTGGTCCAAGTGAACTCAGTTTGCGAAATTTTGGTTTTGATTGTTCTTTAGCATGAAATCTCTAGTTATTATGAAATTGGCCAAATTGATAATGGTGCGGATAGGTGTCACAGGAACCTTAGATTACACACTCACAATGGCTGACATTGCAATTTCTGAGCAAAGAATTCGAATAGGCTACTGAGTAATTTTGCGGAGTGTATTGCATCTTGTAATTATTATTTGAAGTACAATTAAAATGATATTAAAATCAATGAAATCAGCAAAAAAATGCTTTAAAAATGATGGGGAAAGGTATAAAATGACTTATTAGTCAAAACCAACAAAAAACGTCATGAAAATGGGTAGTTTCCTTTTGTCATAACGTAAAATTAATGTCTATACTAAAAGGTATTCTTCTACAGTGAAAAGAAAAAAAAAAGACATTTCATTCAAATCCACCCACTAGATATGACACAACAGATTACCACAACACATGTTATTATCACATAACTCTGAAACAATGCATTTTAGGCCCTTAAAAGCAGATTTTATTCCCAAAGAAACTTTAGTTTGTGGGAACAGGTGAGTTGTGTTAATAATATAAAGTTCAATAGTCAAATAGGTTCAGAATCTAATGTTGACATGGTGTCTCATGCTTAGGTTCCCAGTATGTCAGTTTTAGGAATCATTTTAATTAATATGCCTTTACTGCAAATTCAGGTAATACGGTACCCCAAAAAATTCTCAAGCACACAAAGGACTTGACAGTGAAAGCAATAGATGCAATAATTAGTAGGAAGAGTAGCAATGCAGCAGTGAAGGAGTTTGATCAAATATATTTAGTAAAGCACTCGTGTAATAGAAGTAATTAATTTGTGATAACCAAACAACTTTGTATACCTGATCCGATCTCATGTGTTCTGTTTAACTTAACATTTAATCATAATTATTAAATTTATTAAAATTAATTATTTTTTTGTTCATGACATCTTTGGGTTTTTTACATGTCAGCTTTAGGAATCGGTAACAATCTATCTGTCAGGTTTAGGTGACTTAGAGTTAGTTTAACTTTTCTCTATTTTTTTTTTCTACGAAAAATGAAATTACTTATTACTGAGGAAGATTATTTAACTCATCAAGAAACCAACTACACCTGTAAAGAAAGGTTGTAAATAATCTGACTGTACCAGCCAGTTGAAAGTAATTTTTCCCTTAACCTGTCAGCTTTTGGTGCTATTACCTTACTGTGTTAATAGACAAAAACAAAACCCATCAAATTATTTTGTTTCAAATAGTTGTAATTAACTGAAGATTTATTATAACTTTTTGTTATGAACATTGCATTTTCCTGATTTTGTGTACATCCTTCAATTGTTGTTGATAGTTTAGTTACATGTACATTTTCCCCCATTAAGTTACAAATCTCAAGTTGTAATCACAAAAAATCTTGAAGAAAAAAGTCAATATTCTGAAAGTATGACATTTTAATACCAGTATATTACTTTCAAATTCAAATAAGGTTTGGACATTCTTCGCAGATGCTGACTGCAACATAAGCTCAGTGTTTTGGAATATGTCATCAGACCCAGAGCCTCACCCTCGATTTGGAACTGCAAACGCCAAACTTGGCTGCAAGTTCTTTGGCACCAAAATACAATGATTTATTTTAAAGTTTTGAGTATTAAGTTGATTTTTAGTAAACTAGACATTTATGTGAGAAGGGACCATGCTAAAGAATAAATTAGGCAAAAATATTATTAAAACATATCTTTAGTAAAGAGGACATTATACTCACAATGAAATTTAATATTGGAAATGGTAATGTTTAATCCATTTGCTTTCGAGACATTTAAATTTGAATCATTTGATGAGCTGGTGAACGAGTTAAGAAAGATATTTCCAAGTGTTACATTTGTAATATTGCTTTTAAATATCCAATCACTGCAATCTAGAACATACAAAGGAACAAGTTATTATATAAAGCATTATTATTGATTTCCATATTACTAATTACAAATGTGCACAAAAATTGAAAGAAAACTGTGACAGGTGCCTAAGCATTTGTCAGATATTCATTAGTAGATCTTGGTAAATATCCAAAAACAATGGAACAGTTTTGATTTTGCCTTAAAAATGCAAATATTTAATTGTGTTATTTTTCTTTAACTTATACTGTGTGTATTAACTGAATTCCTACACTCAGAGCAACACCGCTTACGTCACAGCTGACATCATGTGACAGCAGCACCTCAACAAAGACAGCCAGTCATTAAATATTTGCTATTCATGTGTTGAGTAAAGGAACAGGTAAATTTTTATATTCTTGGTATGCAAAGAACTGTTTTACGGCATATCTACTGCACTACATTACTACAGTATTTGTGAAGACAGTTTTTGATAAAATTTTTAATTTATTGGAGTGTTATAAGAGTATTTTACTTCATGTTCTTGACCAATGTGCATGTTCCTTTTAAAAAAATTATTTTGTGCCATTTTATACAGCAGCATTTTTGCTGCTGCAGGCTGCTTTATTCATTATTTATGGTGTTGGGTTAATTGTTGAATAAATATATGTTTACCGCGTAAAGATATATATAATAATAATTTTCAAATATAACTTATGTCATGAAAGCAAAGTACCTGTCATTTCTGGAATGATGGCACACCTCCCGTCATCTTTGACCGATGCCTGGGGAATGAAGCAAATTACAAATGATATAAACTTAAGCCTACATCGCATTTTATAATATTCTTTCTTCGAGTTATACATTACCTTTCCCGTACACGCAGAAGCGCACCAATTTCGTTCAGTACAAACAAAACTAGTACACGTCACAATCAGGAGAATCAGGACAGGTACAACATTTCTCGACATCTTGAACTCCAAACATAAAATTGTTCACGAGTTCTTACCACAAATTGGTTCAACTATCCACCACAAAATACATTTCCCACATACAGTTAAACGCCAAGCCCATTTTCAAGCTAATTTCTAACTCCAAGAACCTTCACGAAGTACCACGCGAGAACAAGTAAAATGCCTGTCCTTCAGCACGTAGCACCAGCGCTGTACCAGCGTCCTGCAGCAGGTTGTTTACTAAACGTCAAACGACAATGATGCCAATACTACATTATCAATTTATTCGTAAAAATTAAGGAATTGTAATATTGCAGAATGACATTGAGAAGTGGCGCATAATTTACATGAAATTAAACCTTGCTTATGCGTACGCTTCCACCAATTATCGGAAGAATGGAAGAAATTCATTATATTCTTATCTTAAAAGGGTTATCGATGTTGGTGGCATGAGTTTACATACTGGCGGTAGTTATGAATAGTAAACCACGGCAGAAAATGTTTCGCATTGTTATAATTAGTAATTATCTCTGATATGTTTTCAATAAGTAATTAATTTATTCTTATATAACTGTTTTTGACAAATAATGAATGTTAATATACATGCCCCTCTCTTGTTGACAGAATGATACAAGTATTATTTCTTGCTTCAATGGATTATTTTGGATATCATCCCTGAGTAAAACATTTTTTTTGTACTTTTATAGGGTGCTCTAATTCAAATGTTTTATATATATCATAATAAACTGAGTTTCAAAATGAATGGTTACAAGTTGTGTTTTTAACTTTAGAAGCTCAATTTCTCTCATTTTATATTTTCTTACATCTTTAGATCTTGAACTTCAACAAATGTTACAGAACAATTAAATTTACTTCTTAATTTTCACAATTTTTCTCTGAATCATCATAATCCATAAACCACTTACATATTATATTCTCATACATGAATGCGATTTTAAGAAATATACAATTAGTGTTCTTCTATGACAATTAACAAGGGGTATCACTCCTCCTCCAAGAGATAGAACACCTAGGTACTACAGATCTGCAGATAGTAGTATAAATATATAGAGTTCTGTTTGCAATATACTGATTTTATGAAATGAGTCATTTTTTAAATCAATTAAAAACAGTAAACTAAAACCATTCTTTGTTTATAGTTGATAAAGTGATCTCTTATTGCTTTGGAACTTAAGGAATTCCTTCTTTGCTGGGACTCAAGAAACCTGCTTGCCCAATCCATTTATATCTCAGCCTTCCAACTCAAAGTTTGTCTCCACGAAATTCAATAGGTTACTTCCTTCAAATGGTGAAGCAAACTAAAAACTCACATTTCACCCATCACATAGAAAAGTGAAACAACTCCAAATTGGCTATTTTGAGTTCATACTATCATTGAACATGGGCAAGTCCAATTTACCATATGCGCTTCTTATTACATTTGAAAAGATATATGTTAGAGATTGAAACTAATATTAAACGATACAAGCATTCATATTGTATTATTCAACATGATAATCATTATTGCTACTCATTGGATTAAAAGAAAAAGCTTAAGCATTATAACAGTGCCTAGTCGAATTAGTAAAACAAATTATAGTTACAAAGAAAACATCAAACAACAAGTAATAGAATGATGTGAAGGACATTTCTTTATTGTTCTAGTTTTTGACTGTACTGAAAAGTACCTACATGCAAAAGGAAGAGTTGATTGAGTTGAACAGTTGATTTAAAAATTGATATGATTGCTAAAATTGCTATAATTTGAGTTTTAAAAAGGAATGTAGTTGATTTAATTTTTTGAATACATACTTTCACACATATTCACAGACATTTCACACAAAGAGGGAAAAACTTAAGCACAGCATAATAATTTTTATTATGATGGTAACAGCATTATCCATGCTAAGAACTGATTGATAGATCAGTGATAACGGGCACGCCAACTGGTAAGGTCATTATAATTATTCATAAAAATATAGATAAAGTGTTTTCTAATTTTTTCAGTAATTCTAAAGTTATAGGTCCTTCTTGCTTTTTTTTTTTTTTTATCTACCTTTTTAGTGTTTGATTTTTGTTTACGCATTTTCAAATCCTGTGATTCACGATTCTCGTCACAAACCTCCCGTGGCGAGTCACGTACGTCCAGCAGCGTTTCAGGAGCTTCGAGCGATGTTTCACGTACGTCCAGCAGCGTTTCAGAAGCTTCTGCATCACGACCATCCAGCGGTATTTCAGGAGCTTCTGGAGGTGTTTCATTGTCATCATCAGACTCTCTGACAGAAGAAGACGAAGAACCGTCGGAGTCGGAAGAAATACTCTCTTCAGAATTGGATGTTTGTTGTTTAACTTTTAACATTAAACATTCCTCTAGCTGGCGTATAGCATCATCTGTTTCGCGTACAGAATCAACAAGAGATGTAGGAGACTTCATATTCACTACTTTCCACCAATGTGCTTTTTGCCCTCCTTTGACGTAAATTTTGTCAATACCATCAACGGTTCTTCGAATCGCTTCGTGTCTACAAGCGTGTACGATGGTGATGTTGTTGTTTCGAGCGTCGCTAAGTTCTTCGATCTCACAGGGTGATTTAAATGTCAACGTGAGGATTTTATCAAAATCACTTGGTATGCGCAGCAAGTTCAGCGTTTTCAAAACAAATTGCCTTGAAGGTCAGCGATTGCAGTCGTTTTTGTCATCTACCGTTCGCGTTGATAGAAGTGGCGAGACGATGGAGTCGGCGGCGGCGGCGGTCCGTATGAAGGAAGATGCAAAGCCGTCAGCGTGGGTGACGTTGGTGGGTCGATGGCCGACGGCGGTGGTAGTTGTTGTAAATAGTTGTGAGTTGCCTCGATTCGACTATGTTTCCGAAGTACACATTACGAGCTTTTATAGAAGCCCAAGTCCCTTCCGCCTCCCTCTACCTCCCTCATACGTGTCCTTCATTCCCTCCCCATTCCTACCTTCCCTCCCTACACGTACTTCCACGTTGCACATCCAGCCAATCACGTTACGTGGATAAAGACAGACCTTGTGAAAGTGAATCCAAGGACAGGGGCTTATCCTCATTGTGGTATACTGCACTCAATTATAGGCCGTTTTTCCATCTAATACTGTATTTATATTAATATTTTATTAATAAATAACTGATCAATTCGTAAATAATTCGACCTCCATTCGTTCCGTTGTTTGCTGGTTAGGTGGGTGCAAATGGTACGCATGTTAGAGTATTAAAATTAGATTTTGAGAAATCTGTAGAAATGAACGAGAAAATTATGGAATTAGCAATGAGAGGTGTGACTTACTATGCGGAAGCTGGTTTCATTTTTTTTAGGTTATACAATTTTAATTTTTTTTGCTTTCTTTTAGTAATTTGAGATTCGGATTCTCCTGCTGTATATGGCGAGGATGAAGTTCTTACTAATGAGAATTTACTGAGTATTTTATCGGATACTACAGAATCCAATATGATTACATGCAGTTTTACCGAAGTAGATGATTCTCGGAGAGGGAGAAAACGTAATTTAGTGCCAAAGAAGATTCCGAAGATTGGATCCTGTCCGTGTAACGAGTGTTACAAGAAATTTTCAGACCAGCACGAGCAAAAACTATTCGAAGGTTTCTACAATTTGGGAAGTTTTAATCTTCAATCTATGGTGAAGCTTGTTACTGAGCTCATATGCCCACACTAGTGATTCAAGACGACAAAGAACACGAATGTATTTTTTACACAATGAAAAAGGCATAAAAGTGAAAGTGTGTAAAACGTATTTTAAGAATATTTTACAAATTTCGAATGGTAGAATTACAAGAGTTCTTCAAAATAAAATTGCAGAACAGTCCCCACCTATTGATAGAAGGGGAAAGTCCTTGTAAAAACAATCTAATGAAGTTGAGAATTTCATAAAACGTTTTCCATCATCGTATCAGTCGCATTATTCAAGAAAAGAATTATATCAATTGTACAAAAAGGGAACATTGTGATCCAGTCTCATACTTTATATTTTCAAGAATTTTTAATACAAAATTTAATCCATCCACCTATAAGTGATGTCTATTCGGAAATATGATTTTTTAAAAGTAAAATTAGTGATAATTCTCGCCTTCGTTTTCATCCTTTTGCTTTTTATTTTCAAACTTCAGTGCTAACAAATTTCAGTATAATTCTAAATTACAAAAAGCTTTATTAAAGAGATTTAACACTTCCTGTAAACGAAACTTCTGTACCAGGAAATGGAGGGAGAACTGTCTTTTAGAAAGAATAATTAGTAAAAAAATTTGACCCTTTCCGGTCCCCGCTGCGGTATTCGCGCTTCCGCCCGCGAAATCTCGAAAACGAACGCCGCTAGCGACTCGGCGCCCATGAGCTTTTCTCATCTCCGCGTTCGCTACATTCGCCCGGACGCATCGCGACATTTTTCACCGCCCCTCCTTGACACGGGGGGGGGGGAACGTCGTTTTTCGCTGTTTTGGAGGGGTAGGCATTTTTTCGAAAACGCCGCAAAAATACATAATTTCTAATGTATTATAATGAGAAGTGAAAGGTACATTCTTGAACTGAGACGGGGACATTTACCATACGTGCAAATTTCTCTTCAGTAGTTATTACCAAAGCTGAAGAAATTATGAACAATAATTAGTCATTCATCAAATGCCTAAGATCTCTTTTCTCCTCTCCCATGGTATCTGGCTAAATCTCATATTTCCAAACCTAATATTTAAAATGTACCATTTGAAGATTTTTTAAAAAATTGGCAACTGTGAGCCCACATGGAGCAACTCTGAACTTTTTTGCATGAAAGTGAAAGCTACAAAGGAGACCTTTGTTTTTTTAGATTCGTATGCAGTTCATTGTAATAAAAGGAAGAAAATTGCAAATAACGTCATGGCTGATACCATGATCTGAGTGTCCTCTCAAAGAGAATTCTAATGTAAAACCCATTTTCCAGTTCTCTTCTTTTTAAACAACATATTTTTTGCATATCTTCCTTATCCTTCTGCCTTTCGCTGTCATCCCAACAAAAACTCAGGTTGTCTAATTTGGTTAAAATTGTCTTCAAAGAAGGAATTTTAATCATTCCCAAAATATTTTTAGGTCTTGTCAATGTTGATGAATATCAATTTCCTTTCTTGTGAAGAAAAGTTCATAAACTAGTTCCAAATTGATCTAATTTGTTTTTTAATTCTCAATAATGCAATACATAATACTTTCATATGACAATAAAATTCATATTATTTAACAATAAAAGAGTATGTACGACT